GTTGTACTTTCTGACAATGTAAGAAGCACATTGTCTTCGTTTTTAAGCTTGCAACTTTAAAAAGAAAATTGTAATTTAATTTTGTGTGTAAAATTTAAAAACGTATATTTTCACTTGAAATGTTCTAATTTGTATTTCCATCCCACTTGGTTGATAAATCAATACACCACATTTTTTTTTTTTTTTTTTTTTTTTTTTTACAGATTATTGTAGATAATGTGTGCATGAAGTATACTTAGTACTGAGTGCCAAGTAAAATGCACAATTTTCAAATTTTGCTTTTAGGATTTTAGAAAATTACTGTTGACAAGCACGTGTCCATCTGCTGGAGATAAAGGTAAGTGAATATCTATTGGTCTAATTATGATTGTTTACTAACACTTTTATCGTTTTAAAAGTTTCAATTTTCTTTACCAAATCTCTATTGGCTGCTGGAACACACCAAATAGTAATTTTTTGGTTTAAATCCTATTAAAACTTTGCCCATTTTATTTACTACTTATGAATTGAGGAGGAAGTTAGTTTTTTGGGACATTAATATTATCACTTATGCTTTTTAAGTTCTATAAATTTACAAGTTTTTTCTCTGATTTCTTTTTCAAATGGAAACTCAATGAGGTTTTGTTTTTAAATGCACACTTTGAGTGTTAGAAACACTTCAACGCTAATTGCATTTGATCTAATTTTTAGATAGAGATAAGAGGGTCAGCTGAAAAGTTCATAGGCTGGCCAAGATACTCTTATGTTTAAACATAGTACCTCCTCGTGGTCCACACATTTTTCATTGCTGTTGCAGTGCTTGGATCCCATTGAAGAAGTCATCAATAGCAAATATGACATCACTGTGATACTGGCTCCCAGCTAGGTGTGTTTTTTTTTTTTTTTTTTTTTTTTTTTATGAAGAATAGAGGATAATCAAATCAGGAAAATAGGGAGAGTGATCAACCAGTTCAAAGCTACAGTCACACACAGCAGACATTGAAACCAAGGACTTGTGTGCTGGAGTATTATCCTGATGGAACAAGACCGCTTTTGTCAGTTTTCCTTGGTGTTTGATCTTGATAGCCTTTCTAACTGCCTCAGCAAGTTGGTATAGTACTCTGTAGTGATGGTGTGATCCTTTTGAAGATAGTCAATAAGCACAATGCCTTTTGCATTCCAAAAAGCTGAAGCCATTACTTTCCCTGCAGATGAAACAACCTTGGCCTTCTTTGGACCAAGTGAGGAGGAGTGCTTCCACTGTGTGGATTGTGTCTCTTTGTCAAAGTGATTAACCCAACACTAAAGAAACCAGATGGATCTGCCTCAAACAATGTCAGATTTTCCTGTGCTATGATCAGCCTGGTGCACTTGTTCTCAGGTGTCAGAAAATATGGTACCCACTAAGCAGAAACTTTCATCATGCCAAGTTCTTTGTGCAGAATATTCTCAACTCTCTCATGGAATATGTTAATAACATTGGCTATTTTGTTTATAGTCAATTGCCTGTCATCCATCACCATGTGTTAAACAGAATCATTGTTTTCCTCAGTTGCAGAACATCCAGAACTTGGGTCATCTGCAAGACTCACTCTTCTACTCCTAAATTCAGTTTCCCACAGTTGATAAAGCTGGAGCATCATCTGCTGATGTATCAACCACAAACAGCATGAATGTCTTTTGGGGCTAAACCCTTTTTCTGCAAATAGTTGACAGGCCATTAAATCCAACAACCAACCAATCCTTTTTCTGCAGGTACTGTGATAACACCACAATGGCAAACTTTGTCTATCTTCAAGAGAAGTCACTACCAGTTACTTTTGAAGTTGTCTTTGAACAGTCAGATGTCAATTTAGCTGGAAAGAAACAATGAAGTTAATAAGAGTTGAAATTAATGCATGCAAGATTTCACAGCTCTAGCATCACTTCATTATCAGTTCTGAACTTTTCAGCCCATCCTCATAAAAATAATTGAATTTTTTTCTTGTCAGTTGTTAACATGTTAAATTTAATAATTGTCATGAATTTTTAAATTTTACTTTTGACAAATCCAAAAGTTGAATTGAGATATGAAATATATGCTACCTTCTCTTTTGATTTAGATCCTTATAATTAATCAGGCCAAAATAATCTGTGAGTAACAGTTTTTTTTTTTTTAAGTTGCTTTTGTTATAGTTTTGAACTTGCAACCCCTCTCCCTCTTTTGGGAAAAGGGTGAAACTCAGAGAAGCTACTGTGCTCTTTTTAAACTATATTTGAACCACATTTCCTTTTATTGACATGAATAGAGTTTAAGGAATTTCTCAAGATAAGTATTAACTGATTCCAACAAATGTAGCACTGGTTCTACATGCTAACATAGTATATTAAGTCAGCAAGCTGGCTGTATTAGTTTAGAAATCTTTCTTGTTGCTATGAAACTAATGTTAATCAAAGATTTTAAGTTGCCATAAACCAAAAGGATAAAGAAAATTTAATTGACAGCAAGGTTTTTAGGATCTTTTTTTTTTTTTTTTTTTTTTTTTTTTTTTTTCAGCTTTGCTCATAATCAGTAATATTTGCATGGCATGGGTTTTAAAACCTCTATTGGAAAATATGAAAATAGGTACCTCCATGAGATTGCTAAAAAAGAGCATAGCATGATGAAAAAGATGCCAAACTTGACGAAAACAAAATTTTATCATCTAAATGTTTATTAACAGGAAAGATCAAAATATTTTGCCATTTTTTTACATTTTTTAATCATTCCTAGCACGTCCGAAATTTGCATTAAAAATCTTTTTTTTTTCTTTTTTTTTTTTTTGTCAGCAAAATTGACCATTTTTTTACATTTTATAAAAAAACTGGAAATCTCACTTTGAAATTCTTTTAAATATCAATTATCATTTTTTTCAAAACTTATTTTAAGAAAATCAGAAATTATAATGTTTATTTAAAATATTTTGAACCAAGCTTAACTTAGCTTCTGCACCGAAAAGATGTAATTTGAAAATAAAACAAAGCAGGTCATAAACTTTCACGTCACTTAACAGGTGATGAATGACATATTGACGGATTCCATGAGGCTAATTTGTTCTACAGAAGGAGAAAAGTGAAATAATTTACATTTAAGTGAACAAATTATTTACCTCGTTATTTTTAAGGAAAACTTTCAGCACTCTAACTTTTTTTTTTTTTGTACTTAGCTTTCACCTTTACGTTTATGATGCTTTATGGAAAATATATTATAAAAAAATTAAAATAAGACTGTTAAGAGTGAGATTAAATTTCATAAGAAAGGTATCTAATTTTCTTATGAAATTTTACCAGAAGTGTACATAAAATACTATAATTTTATGTACATTTTTTACATTTGACTGTTATTTGTATTTCCATTCATTTTATTAATTTTGATATTTCATTTATGGAAAAATGTCATAACTGAGATTAATATAAAAATAAGATCATATAAATTTCATAAGATGATACTGATGCTTGTAGGTACCCTTCTCAGTTGAAATTGAAAAATCAAATTAACTTCTCTACACGTGTTTCGCAAAAGTAAAGGCCTTAACAGCGGAGAACAATGCTTAACTCAAATAATACAACTTAATTGTATTCTGGTTGGTCTTCTGTACGTTATAATTACAGCCTGATTATAAACACAAAATTACATTTCTTAATTACTGCGGATCTTCTGATTAGTCAAAATGATACAATTTACAACACGCTAAAAAATCTCTCATAAGGAGACTTAGGAAAGCTGATGCGGCTTTTAACTAATTTTATAATATTTTAAAAAATTAAATGTAAAAATCTATTATAATTAAGAAATAACAAATAATTGTATTAAAAATTCATTTTTCATCAAAAACATTTTTTGCTTTCAGAAAATATTGTCCATATTCATAAAAACAACTAAAAGCAAATAAAAGCATTTGAAATTAAATAATATCTTTGTTTTATTGAGTTTTGAGCTGATTTTCAGGTGGGGGGGGGTCCAATTAAAAACAAAAAAAAACATGATTTGCATTCCTCAAAGCCGTGTGCTTTTAACTATTGTAATCACTAAACCCGATGCAATTGAATTTCTACCATTTTCATAAAATTAGTTATGGTGGGGGGTAATAAATATAAAAAAAAATATTTCTGCCATGACTTTAATAAAAAAAAAAAAAAACAATAATTTCGATCATCTGTGAATAATTCCTGAAAGTTTCATTAACATCCGACAATTATTTATATTTTTGCAAGATTTTCCAAATTAATGTGTCATATCAAAAAATTGTCTGTTATTTACTAGTTCCGCTGATACAGAGAGAAACAAGGTTTTTTTTAATCAAAATTTAGAATGTTCTAAAAAGAAGGAAAAATTTAAAAAAATAATTAGTCTTTGGTCTTTCCCCTTAATAACACAAGCATTTAGACGATAAAATTTTGTTTCCGGCAAGGTTGGCGTCTTTTTCATCAAGCTATGCTCTTTTTTTAGTGATTTCGTGGAAGTACCTTATATGAAAACAAAAAAAAAAATAAATTCTACTTGTAAAGTTATTTATTTTTATAAAAGACTTTACCAAATTATCTATTTCATTACTCCATGTTTGTTACATTTTTTTCTTGTTTGTATGGTACTATGAATTGTATATATTTTCAAGAAATCCTCTTTAATAATTTCATTAATTACTTGCAGGATGTGTATTAAGATTTTGGTAGCAATGTTCATCTATTTAACAAAAATTGGTGAAAAATATTCATTTTTTTTCTTAATATTTAATGTAATTTTTCTTATTTGGTTTTGATATTAAAATCATGGATTTTTTTTCACTGTTCATCACATGGTAGCAAAACACTTAAACTATTTTTTAATGAATATTTTATTGCATTTTATTTTTTAAAAATTATCACATTACTAAGGATATCTTTTAAATTATTTATTTTTTTCACTAATTTCAAAATTGCTTATCCTGCATCATGTGTATCTGCTACCTTTTTTGTTTTGTTTTTTTTTTAAAAAAGAACAAAAAAACCCTAAATTATCCATGATGACTGGCCGTTCTACATCTAAAGGCTACCTTCCAGTTGGTAAGTGCTCTCACCACTGGCCTTTCCTATCTGAGACTTTTCTTTTTTGAATCCTACCTCAGCCAATCACTCAGTTTGCACACACTTAGCTTCAATCCTGCCAGAATCCTCTTTATTAGAGGATTCTCTGCCCAACCCTCAACCATTCTGAAAGGACAATACCAGCTATTGTTGTCTTATCTCTGGTTTGATGGCTAAGTATCTCAATTGCTTGCTGTATTCAATGATACACTTTTGATCTTGCATCTCTTTGCTATTCCCCATCCAGGCAATCCTGAATAGATTTTGCCTTTATGCTGCTTCAGACTTTGGAAATTTCCTTTTATACTGACCCACTTATCAAATATATTTGAATATCATTATGCAAATTATGAAATGTTTTTCTAATTTAGTTTTATTTGGACATTGCAATTACAATGAGGCAGAAAACCTACAAATGGTTTAAGAAAAGGTCGAGTATATTTTAGGCCTCAACAAAATGTCATTATCAGAGATTGAATTACTATAAGCAAAATTATGGGATTGGCAGAGTAATTTGGACATGAATTCAACAAGTTCCTTTTATTAGAATTTTGATATTTAAAGTTTATATTTTTTCTGGTCAATTAGATAATGAACATGAACTTTATTGCAGATTTTATAGAATGAGAATCTTTAATGTTTTTCATTGCAGTTTTGTTTACAGCCCTGAGACTTTAGCTACATTAGGGTTAGTTGTGCTGTTTTTATGATCACGGTAATATTTGACTACGACTCTGTATTTAGAAAAACAGTGTAATCTCATACAAGACGTTGAAAAGTCCTTGGCCTGATCCACTTGCCAAAATTTGACCAAACATTAAAATCTTAAATTTTTTTAACCTTTTCTTAGTTAGGCCCAAGAATTTTTCATAAATAGAAAGGGATTCCAAATAATGCATCTAAAATCTTTATAGAAATGATTTTCTTAAACTGAAGAGTATGCTTTTATGAAATTATTCTATATATGTCATCATTGTATTATGTAAACAATGTCCAGATAAAATGTTGCTTTCATTTTAATTAACCTGACACCAAAACATTTCTAAGTTGTCATTTTTCTCGCTTTAAATGATTGTTCACTAATATGTAACATAGATATGTTTTGAAATCTTCAATTTGATATTGGTCTTTTGCAGTTTAAGTACAAAATTTGAAAACCTTTCTTTCTTAGTATTAGCTCTGAAATGCCATTATCTTGGATTCTTTCAAACTGGAAATGAATAATACTCTGCCTATCTGTGGATACTTCCATTTAACACACACAAATTATTGGCTCAAAATTGTCTGTTGCTTCTGCTTGTACACCTTCTCTGCTGAGACACCAAACAATGTACTCTGCATTTCATTTCCTTATACTCTATAAGTAGTTTAGTATTTTAAAATCACTAATCCTATTGACAAAACTTTTACTTCCTCTTGCCCTGAAGCACTAAGGGAGGCAACTTTAGTTAGATAATATGAAAGAATCTTAGTTGAAGAGCTGCTTGTTTAGGAAATATGCTGTTGAATCAACGAAATAGCCTTTTTAAGGATCTCAATAAACTAATTCTTTAATAAAATAGGATTAAATAGGTTTGCCTATTGTCCAGGTCAAACTCCTCCCATGTCTTTTGAACAAGAGGTTTACCCATTGTTTCCTGTTTACAATTGTGTTTCCGGTTCCTTCTAAAATCTACTTCAACTCCATACTTCTAATGTCTCTGCCTGAACTATGAAATTTTATTTACTAATTATTTTTTCCTCACTAGTAGATGATGGGTTTGCTTCTTGTTTAATTGACACTCCTACCCAGTTTTTTGAACAGGAGTAGTGGTTTATCCCTTGTTCCTTGTTTAGGATTGGGTTTCTGGTTCCTTCTAAAGTTTTCTCATTCTCTTTCACTCCCAGTAGCCACTTGCATCTTCGTGACATTATCACCTTGCTTGGAGTGAATTGATTTAAAATAAAATTTTTCTAGTTGTATATGAATTAAAAACAACTGAGAATAGAAATTGTTTAGAATGAAAAACAATTTAGTTTGGTCAAAACAATTTCTAGTCTTTAAAATGTTGGCCACTACTATTAATGTATACAAAATGCAGAAAGTGTATTAAATACAGAACTCCTTTGAACACTCTGCTGTTTATATTTAATTTTGCATAAAAATAATAATTATACAGTAGTCCACCTCTATAGCGTGGGCTTTGGGGTCCAAGATGGCCGACCTGTGCTGCAAGTGAATCGTGGTGGGGTTAATGGAAGATTGAACACCTACCTGATTTTTGGGCCTTATTTGCCCTATTTTGCGATATATATACCATAGATAATGGCTCGAAAAGAACTTCAAAAAATTATACTAATTTATGCCAATGATTCCATAAGAAATTTTGGGTAATTTGCTTTTTAAGCCCTGCGCAAAGTATCTAATAAAAATTTCCCAAACAGTTATTTTTTATTCAAAACTTACATGCCTAATTCGAAAATAAAGAAATTTTTATAAAATCTACCGTTTTGGAGTTACCAACAATAAAAGTTTGGACTCATTTGTTTCATTGTCGGCTACAGCACAGCAGTCATTATTGGCATTGTTTGTATCAGTGCGTGCACAATAATCGAGACAAGTGAATGTCTATTCCACAGAAAATATGTGCAATCAATGCCAGTAATGGCTGCCACAACATGAATGAGTTCAAACTTTTATTGTTGATAACTCCAAAAAGGTATATTTTATCAATTTCTTTGTTATTTTCAAATTAAGCATGTGAATTTACACGTAAATATAACTATTCAGGAAATTTTTATTAGATACTCGGTCCGGGGCTTAAAAAGCAAATTACCTGAAATTTCAACTTATTTCAGTGTTTTACAGCAGACTTTTTATACAATAAATTTTAACCGTTCACAAAAGTACTTCCTCTTGCAATGCATTATTGTCTAGTTTGAAAAGTAGTCTGGCATTGTAAAAGGAAAAGACAAACATGGAAAGTGTGAAGTATAAGAAATTAAATTTATTTCCACAAATATCATGTTTGCTATACATATAAAATCGAACAATAAGCACAATAGTTATATAAATAAATAAAAAAAAACATTCATATTAATAAAATTAACAATGTCCATCTACTCAGTGTTTAATAAATAATAATAAAAAAAAAAAGTCGGTGAGCTTCTTCTGCACCTTGCCCTTCCTAGCTCTCAGCTGGGTCCTCCTGAGAAGGTTTCTTGGGATCCACCACCCACCCGCAGTACACCAGGTTATCGCAGTAAACTGGTTCGCCTAATAACATTGAACTACTGTAATAATAGAATAATTAATGCTTTCTCTTTCTGGAAATGTTTTAAATTTATTTCCAACTTGGATTTGCTATATGTAAGCTTATTTTTCATGACATCCACTTTTAAAACTGATTTGATATAAATTGATTCCAGGATGTCTGAATAAATGTCACTTCTGTAAAAAAGCTAAGACAAAAGACCTTCCATTCAAGTTAAATAATCAATTATCTCAACATGAAATTTGAACTGAGAATCCCAATGAATTTTACAGCAAGTCTCAAGAAGGAAATTTGTTCTTTTGGATGTTATAAAGCAGTTTTGATCTTCTGATATCATTTTTAAGTTGAACAGTTGGTCCAAACTAGTTGAACTAGTTGCTCCAAACACTTGTCTTTAATGTTAATCAAAAGATATATTTCATTCATTCTCTCTGGAAGTAGTTCTCAGAAGACATCACTATAACTTAATTTTATACAAAATGTTTATTTTATGTAAGGTGTAATTTTTATTTCATTTTTACTTTACTTTAAAGACTTTCTAAAAGCTTATTAGCTTATTACATGATTTAATTATTTTTTTTCTTTAATTTTCAACAAAAATTTTATTTCTCAAGATTGCGTTTAAAAAATGTTCTTGACTTCCTGTTTGGTTATGCCACCTTCTCCATTTGCTTTTTGGTTGTCTGTTTTAGGTGACCAAAAAAAAAAAATAGATTATTCTTGAGAAATTCAATTAAAAAAAAAAATAAAGTGATGAAAGTCTAAAAAGGCATATTCCCTATTTATTTTAGATGAAAAACAAAAACCAGAATTTACTATTTTTGTTGTTCTTACAGTCACAGTCATGGCCACCTACTCTGGAAGCACAAGCTCTGTGGAACTATCCATAGCTCCACTTATCACTTGTAAACTCTGTTTGACGGAGTGTCCATTACAAGACACTTATGAAATCCACGATTGCAGATGTCTTTACTGTGAAGCAGTAAGTATACCTTGTTTCTCTCCCTACCACCTTCATGTGTACACCACACTTGCTATTCACATCACAAAATGAATTTTTTTTTTTTTTTCTTCAGCACTCCTTCATGCAACTTTTCATGTTTTGTTCTATTTTTAACAATAAAATTGGACAGCCAATATTGACTATTGGTTGACTAACTACAAGATAAACAAAATCTATTGTGCTTTATCAGCAAATGTTATCTGACTGTTCAGTAATTTCTATAAATTCTATTTTTCGTTTAATATTAATGTAGGTACCTCCCCCACCTCCACAAAAATAACGTGTTTAAAATGAATTTTTAAAAATGAAAAATCTTTCTTGACGTTTTTATTTTAATTTCAAAGTAATAGATTAAATTTAATATTTCCAATAAGCAAAATACTTTGCAAAAACTAATTTAAATTGACTTAAAGAAGGTCTTATTTTTATTTTTTTTATTTTGCTAAAATAGCCAATTATTGCCCCCCCCTTTTTTTTTTTTAGTTGTCTTTCATTGGAATGTAATTCTCTTTATTAAAAAAAATCTTCCAAAAATAAAATATACTTTTCAGAAACTTTGAGGGATATTAGCTGACTTAAAGTATAATTAATCTGGTTTGAAAGAAATATTATTTACTTTAAGTTTAAAATAATACAGAAATGCATTTTTAAACCACTTGGTAGCTGTGTTTTTTACTGATAATAGCTATATTTACATGTTTGCCATGTGATGACAGATTTATTGTTCTACAGAGACTTTCTGTAAAACATAATTTAAGAACATGAGTGCCTTTTTTTTATATAATTTTTAAGTACTCGGTAATCTTAAAAATGTTGGAAAATATTCTTCATAATCTAATTTTAGGAATGTTGACTTTAAATTTACTATAGTTCTCTCTCTTATTTTCTGATAATGTTGTGTATAGTCATCCATACTTTAAAAAAATGGCACATTTATTTACATAAAAAATTTGAAAATTCTTAAGTCTTGGTGTTCGATGACTGGTATTAAGCTTTACTTTACCATTTATTAGTAAATATAGTTTTCACTTAATATAATCTAAATTCTAAATGGGTGAAATTAATATGGAATTTTAAGATTTAAAACTTGATAAATTTTTCTAATTAAAATTTTTAAAAAAATGGAAATAATTCTTGTAATAATTCATTATTAATTGAAAAAAAATTTTTTCTTAGGACAATAATGTCCTTAATATATCTTATTTCTAAAAGTAATTAAAAGCTTTCCTAATTAAATGTCAGTTTTATTGCTTTTTTCAGAGAAGATTTTTTGGTAAATAGTGTTCCAGCTTGACAAAAACAAAATGGTTACTAAAATTCTCCATGGAGTCTTGCTTTTAACTAATCTAAATCTAAGGCTGAAATTTTAATTTCTTGAAATTTCATAAAATTAAGTATTTAAGAGATGTAAAAAAAAAAAAAAAATTATATAATTTCATTCATTTGTGAAAGTTTCATTAAAATCCAACAATTATTTGATTTTTGCAAAAATTTCCAAATCTGTTTATCGAAAAAAAGGCACTAAAATAATTTCTCAGCTACTGTTGACACAAAAGAAGAGAAAAAAAATTTAACCAAAGTTTTGAACGTGCTAGAAAGCAATTAAAAAATTCTTTGGTCTTTCCTCTCAATAACATAAACATTTTGATGATAAAACTTTGTTTTTATCAAGTTTGGCACCTTCTTTTCATCATGGTCAGATCTTTTTTAGCAAAAAAGTGGAAGTACCTATATTAATGTTAAAATGTTTTTCTACATTTCTGTATTTTATGTTTTACTTAAATAAATGCTATGTTTTTGTTTATTAAAATCACTGCCTTTTTAGGTGTAAAATTTAGTGTGTCCTCTCTCCATACACATGACTTTTTCTATAAAGTTAAGAGGCTTTATTAGACAGTGTTTGAATTGGTAATTTTTTTTACATTGACTTGATCATCATATTTACCACTTTGTTCTCCTTTCTATCTTTCAGGTAAGTTCATTGTTCTATTATAATCTTTTTTGTAGTCTTCCAGAGGTGACATTTTTTTTCCTTTATAAGGCAGCTGTTATGCTTAATGTCAAGTCAATTCCTAGTTAAAGAATTTATCTTAACAATCATTTGCAAATAAAGGGAGACTACTCTAGTTAAGCTTCCAAATATTTAAAAAAAAAATAGTGAACTTAATCAGCAAGAGTCTGGTATTGAATCGTTTCTGAACATGGTTACAATTTAGATAGGTACCTTCATGAGATCGCTAAAAAAAGAGCATAGCATGATGAAAAAGACGCCAAACTTGACAAAAACAAAATTTTATCATCTAAATGTTATTATTAAGAGGAAAGATCAAAATATTTTGGGGTTATTTTTTTTACATTTTTTAATTGTTCCTAGCACGTCTGAAATTTTCTTTAAAAATCTTGTTTTTTTTAGTCAGTAAAATTGACAGATAATCAATCATGTCAACCATTTTATTCCATTTTTTATAAAAAAAAAATGAAAATCTTTCAAATTTTTTAAAAAATCAATTATAATTTTTACTTAAAATATTTTGAAACAAGCATTACTTAGTTTCTGTGCCAAAAAGAAGTAGTTTGAAAATAAAATAAAGCAGGTCATAATATTTCGTGTCACTTGACAGGTGATGATTGATAATTTCATTGTGTATTGACAGCTTATGTTAGGAAAATTTATCATACAGGAGGACAGAAGTGATATTTAGAAGTTATTTAGATTTAAGTGAATGAATTATTTACCTCGTTATTTTTAAGGAAAACTTTCAGCACTAATTTTTTTTTGTACTTAGCTTTCCAATTAAAAAAAATACATGATTTGCTTTCCTCAAAGCCTTGTGCTTTTAACTAATATATTCACTAAACTGAATGCAACTGAATATCTAGAATTTTCATAAAATTAGTTATTGGGTGGGGGTAATAAATATAAAAAAATTTTTCCATGACTTTAAAAAAAGAAAACAAATTTATAATAATTTCCATCATTTGTGAATAGTTTCTGAAAGTTTCATTAACATCTCACAATTATTTATATTTTTGCAATATTTTCCAAATTTTTCTGTCATACAAAAAAAAGAAAACGTGCTAAAAATTTGTGTTATTTTACTAGTTCCGATGATGAAACGAGAAAGTTTTTTTTTAATCAAAATTTGGAATTTTCTAAAAAAAAAAAAATAAAAATTTGAAAAGATAATTAAAAAAATACTTCGGTTTTTCCTCTTAATAATAACAAACATTTAGGGGATAAAATTTTGTTTTCATCAAGTTTGGCATCTCTTTCATCAGACTATGCCCCCCTTTTTCTTTTTCTTTTTCTTTTTTTTTTTTCTTTTTCTTTTTTCTTTTTTTCTTTTCTTTTTTTTTTTTTTTTTTTTTTTTTTTTTTTTTTTTTTTTTTTTTTTTTTTTTTTTTTTTTTTTTTTTTTTTTTTTTTTTTTTTTTTTTTTTTTTTTTTTTTTTTTTTTTTTTTTTTTTTTTCTTTTTTTTTTTTTTTTTTTTTTTTTTTTTTTTTTTTTTTTTTTTTTTTCTTTTTTTTTTTTTTTTTTTTTCTTTTTTTTTTTTTTTCTTTTTTTTTTTTTTTTTTTTTTTTTTCTAGCAATCTCATAAAGGTACCTAAATTTAGACAATATTTTTTTGCAATGGAGTGAAAATCTTCATAAAAATGGAAACAAAAGTGTTTTTTTTTTTTTTTTTTTACATAAAATATTTTTGTAATCCCTTTCAATGTTATGATTTTTTTGTAATACCTTTTAACAAATAATCCCAAAAGTCCAATCATCATAAATGCTAGTCTGAAATATGGAAGATGACAGAAAATTTGGTCACCAAAGAAACCTGCAGTCTTGCATTATCCTGTGATTGGATATTATGCTCCCACCGCCTCATCTTAACTAATTCTGAATGCTTTTCATTATTGACTGCTTTGTTTAAAGAACAGCAATTGTTTAAATTCCTTTTCCTGGAAGGAGTTCATGGTAGACATTAGTAATAGTCCATTTTGCTTTATTTTTTCTTGTTTTAAAGTATCTGGTTTTTATCACCCATCAAAAAGTAAATCACTTTTTTCTTGTGGAACCTACACTTGAAAGTGATTAACATAAGCATTTTCAGCACTTAGATATTTTGCAAATGCTACTTATATACCACATTGCATCATGCAAATAATATATTAACATATATTCTTGAGGAATATCTTTATTTGATCATTATCAACAACTGATTTTCAAGCATTGTTAAGTAAGAAACAAGAAACTTTCCAATCCAATTTTGACATGTTTATTTTATTCACAATACCTTCTCCATAAAATGCACATTTTTTTTAGGCCACATTTTTATTTCAAGATAAAGATGTTGCTTATTTACATTTTCTTTTGTTCTAATCAGTAACTAAAACTACACTAGTATTGACATTTCTTTCTTAAATGCATGCTAATGACAACTGTTGCAATACATCAAACGGAATCTGTGAATTTATTTCAAACTAAATGTTCTTAATATTATTTAATGACAAAAGTAGATTAAGCAATAAACATAAATCTCATTTTGATATTGATTCTTTGCATAAGTTTTAACCCTAGAACTAAAGTGATGCCACCTTAAATATTGGAACAAATAGCAGAACTGCATTTTTTTTTTTTTTTTTTTTTTTAAACTCCTGATCCACTTCAAGCTTGTTAAATGATAGCAAAAACTAAATGGTTTTAATGTTTCAAATACCATGACTTTTCAATTTCATACCTAAGACATGATGTTTGCATTATTAATAACGAGAATTATAAATGTAGAATTAAAGCTTAAAATAGACTTTAGAACAATAGAAGGAATTGTTATTTTGAATTTGTGCTACTAAAAATGATTGATTTCTCTAAGTTTTTTCCTTTGCTTTTATATCTGAAGGGGGAAAATGTTTTTCATCTTTTTGCAACGAACCTTTAACTGTTGTCCATCCTGCTTTTGTTTCATTCTCTCTCTCTCCAGTGTGTGAAGCAGTATCTGTCTGTAATGATTACAGAAGGGAATGTCTTGGCCATCACCTGTCCTGATGCTGAATGTAAAAAACAGGGTAAACTGGATGCCCAAGAAGTAAGAAAACTTTTACCTCAAAATCATAGTCATTTACCAAATTGCATTTAAAGTACACTTTTATATAGTCTTGTTCTGAAAATAATGGTAATTTCAAAATAGTAATGACAAAAGTTGGTTTTTAGAAGCCAGAGAAAAGCATTAACTAAATAGTCCAACAGTAGATAGTTATTTTCAAAGTGGACATCACCCTTCTGACACCAGTCAAAGGTTGATGGAAAATTTTGCCCTTGCAGCTGATTGAGGAAATTATTTCTGAGAAATCTTAGATGGACTTTGAATGAGACTTGATAGAATGTTCAACTGAGGCATGGACAAACAATACAGAATGGGGGGACCTGAAGTTGTTTATATATTTTCTATTCAGCTCAAATAGTGCAAGGTTAATGATGTCAGAATTGAATGTTTGAACTAAAATTGGTAAATGAGAAGGATAACTTATGGATTGGGAATTGTCATTATTTTAGCAAAAGCAAGGGCATTTGGGTGTAGCCATAGGTGTCTTGGGTGTAGTCATGTAGGGGAATTCCCTGCATTCTTGAGAAATGAACATCGCTCATAATTTTGATTTCATTTTAATGAAAGAACTGCCATAATTAGCATTTTGCATATTGAGTTTTTCCTACCAAGCAGCAGAGAACAGCTCATCATTCAAGGTAGACACATCTGTCCATGATGGCACATTTTCCCAATTGATACAACTAAAGATGTTTCTCTCTGCCTTGTCTCATTAGTTAGTTTCAATTCTACACTAACCTAGATACCATATTGCCTGGAATATGCCATTAACTAATTTAGCTGCAGAAAGCAAACTTTTTTCCTTGTTTCTGTATATTGTTTTCTTTCATTTAGACTTAGTGAGATCTGACCATTAAAAGAGGGGAAAGAATTCAGCAGATGAGAAAGAATCCGTTTAAGAGTATGTGTGTATACTTGTCTTAAGCAACTAATGATCACAATGTTAGATGAAGGCCAGGAAGAAACTTCAATACTTAGTAAGAGCAACATTTTTTGCCTCTGGCTTAGGGAAAGCTATTGCAATGATGTAGCATTTATATATATATATATATATATATATATATATATATATATATATATATATATATATATATATATAAAACCTAAACCTAAGTGGAGGGTAGGTACAACAAATTTGTCTCAGGCAAACCTGTTTTGACACTAAATTTGTCAAAGATTCTTTTAACCTAGAACAGAGGACAAACAGAAATATTATTTACATTATTCGGACTATTGTCCTCATATTTATTACAACGTTTCGGCTGTTGTACACTCCTGCCTTCTTCAGGTGGTTGGAATGTCGAACTGAACCCTTTATTGCGCTCACTGGGGTAGACTGTTTAAGTTCCACGTGCCATGTTTAATGGATATCAGTTATCTCCTGTTGATTTCCCTCCCCAAATTCCCCACTGCCTTAGCTGGGTATTGAACTCCCACTCTTTGGGTCTTGTCACTGGATCTAACTAATCCAGTGTGCCCAGCTAATATTGCAAGTGAAAGCATACTTAATTTTTAAGTTTAGTAATAATTTCTAACTGTTCCAATTTGGAGGTAAAACATGTTACTCTGTTGATGGACAGATTTATGCATAAATTCACTGAATAACCCTAACTGTCTGCGCTCTCGCTGCTGCTATTTTTCTTTTTCCTTTTCATTTTGTTTTATCAATCTGTCGTTCTCTATCTTAGCACTACTTCTTGTCATTGTCACTCGGTGCATTTGATCTTTACAGCAATTATGTGTTGACATCAAGCTGGGAGGTAACCAGATTCTACTGGGATTTTGCCCAATGGTTATTGTGAATCTGCAGAAATTTCAGGTGGGAAATCCTTGCAGGTGTTGTAACTTCTTTGCTAAAAACCAATATCAAAGCAATATATTCTGTTGATATCTAATAATGGGCTGAAGTTTAAGAAATTGAAAAATTTTCAAGTACATAAGGAGTAAAGAATTATTAAAGTTTCTATTTAGCCTGGTTGGTTTTTCAGCAGGATAATTATTCAGAGTAGTAACAGCGGCCAGAGAAAAAGTGAGGATTAAAACCAGACTTCACCTATTTTGTCATCTGGTCTCTATTTGTACACTATTTGAGAAAATTTGAGCATTTCTGATATTGATTTATGACATGCCTTGTCTAAAAAGTCATTCCAAAGCTCCCTAATATTGGATTTAGCAAGATATAAATGTTTGTGGAGCTTTGATAGTATTTTAAATAAATACAGCAAGAATTGTTCTTTGGAATTTGGGAAATTTTAGAAGACCATAAATTTTATACTGCCTCGGAGACAATTGGGTAGTTTGACAACATCTCATCTTATTAAATCTTAATGAATTCTACTTGGTTTATTTCACTTTCAAATCTTCCTAGAGCCTTCCCCAACCTTATTTTATGACTTCTAATTATTTTTAATCTGTTCTTTCCTTTTTCTGCTTTTTTTTTTTTTTTTTTTTTCACCATTTAATCCTAATTATTTTCTGCTTAACATTTGTCATGCAGCATTCTCCTGCATTAAAATGTTGAACCAACATTATCACTGCATATTTTCAGTTTAATGAAAAATATCAACCATTCTATTCCTCTATATTCTACATCCTGAATAAGTAAAAGAAAATAAGAGTGCCTCCTTCAATTCTTTCAGATAGAAAAACTAGTGAATGAACAGACATTTGAAAGATATTCCCGATTACGTTTTCAAAAGGGTAAGGATCTTTTTCTTTTTCTATTCCTATTTAATCAGTTTAACTTTTTGTTACCTTGCTATGTAAATGTCAAAGATCCAAAATTACTTGACTGCTGACATAAGTGGAATTATGAATCCACTCATGGCAAAATATATTCGATTTTAATTAATATTTTAAAATGAGCAAACAATAGCCATAACTGTTTTTTTTTTTTTTTTTTTTGTTTTGTTTTTTTCATTTCATTAACCCTTTCATTGCTATTTGGGGTATTTGAAGCCTGACGGAATGCTAGCTTGGTTTTTGTTAGTTGCCATTAGGAATTGCAATAGAAGACTGACAAATTAAGCTTTATTTTAATAAAATTAAATTTGTTAAAAGTACACCAATGAAAAATAAAATTGTAATATCTTAAATGTGTTTTGTTTTCCCAAGATTAAATGTAGAAGTAATAGAGCTAGATGACAGTAAATATTCACATGTGAATCACATGCACAGTTTTCAAAATAAGATTTTTATCTACATTACTCAGACCCTGTATTAATACACTGTATATCCTGAGTGGGCATTAACACAAGCCTTTGTGTTTGCATATTATCACACAGATGGCAAATACTAGCCTGCAATGAATTATTCCATGGCTCTTGCATTTGTTGACACAGTACAGCAAGAGTTGTAGGTCAGCTAAGCATGTGTCACTGTCTAAAGCTCAGGCAGAAATAATGCACTGATATGAACGTTACAGTATTACATGGTAAGTGAAAACTTAAAATTTGATCAGAACATCTACTCCATGCATATTCAGTACTCAAGTCAAAATTTTATTCTCCATCAGCATATGGAGAATGACACTGATGTGCATCCTTGTCTTTTTTTTTTTTTTTTCACTATAATGCTCTGTGATACACATGTGAGTACTTTCCATAGAGAGAACGACACCACAATATGCGCACATGTCCGTCATATGGAAGTAAATGTGTTAAACTGCCTGTTCTCATTTCATTCTGTCTTTTCGATTTCCTGCCACTTTATCAACTGGATTACTCTTCATTTATAACAGCTACTGTTTGTTGTTGACTTAATTTTTTGAGTTTCTCTTTACTTCTTTCATCCCTATATGCACTCACAATGTGCTCCTAATTATAGTATAGATTTATTTCTGTTGTATCTTTTTCTCACATTAGAGGCTTTGGCCCAATGTAAGAGCTACAGTATATTGCCATCTTGCAGATGAAAAAATGTCGTAAATTTTTTTTCTTTTTTGGTCAAATCATTGAGAGTTCATTCCTCTTCACAATATTTCCCCTTTTATTCCACAAGTTTTTAATTCTTTCAATGCGAGAACGAATTACAAATGGCCACCTCCTTATTCCCACAACAAAAAAATAAGAAACAAAAAAACAAATTCTCTTTTAATAGATGAGAGGATAGACTTAATGAACATGAGCAAAAGAAGACAATCCAGTTGTCTGCTTTGTGTACTTTTATTGGGAATTCTTTGTGTGTGCATATATTGTTTTTCTTTTCTCAGAAGTGGATGTTGATCCAAACCGGACATTCTGCCCGAAAGCTGGCTGTGAAACTGTGTGCCATGTCTGTAGTCCCTCAACAGGGGAGAACTCCAAACCAATTCCTGTCGAATGCCCTGAAGTAAGTCAGGAAAGCTTTTCATTTTTGCATGTAAATGTTTTAACACCTGTCAATAAGTTGAACATAGTTTTATTCTGATGGCTGAAACACTTTCCATTTTGTTTCTTTGTCAGTGTGGCTTGGAATTTTGTTCTGTCTGTAAAACCAAGTGGCATTCAAGCCAAAGTTGTGATGAAGTCATGAACAGTGGCAAAGCTGAAGATATAGGGTAAGTATTATTTAAACATGAAGGCTTGGCTATTTAACGTCATTTTCTTTCACTTGTATGATTTAAATAGCAAAAAAAAATAAAACAATTCCCTTACTGTAAGTTATACAATATGTACAGCAGGTGTGCATAAACCGAGCCAAACAAGAAGGATTTACTTAGCCTGGTGTCAAGTGAGAACAAATGATTGTGCACAAAAATGTCATCAATCTGGCTTGGCAGCAGCCATAATACAAGAAAGAGAGAGGGTGGGGAGAGGAACTGAAACATTTGAATCATTTGAGTTTATATGCTCCCCCTCTCCCAGACTTTTTGTCCTATCTCACCTTGATTCTCCCCCAATTTCTGTGCATACACCACATTTGCTATTCACATCACAATATTTTTTATATAATAAAAATGCGTTTTTAGATTAACAAGCTGTTTTGTCGAGTATTTTTTCTTTTTGTTAAAATTACTTTCTCAAGACAGGCTTGAATTTCCAATATTTGAATAAACATTTAAATAAACATTTAAATTCTAAAAGATTTCCACAATATTCTATCTTCCATATTCATTATCCGAAATAATGATTATGTACAGGGGTAAACTTTTAAAATAAAGAAAATTTTAAATGTCTAAAAAGTGCTTTAATTGCCAACTCACCCACAGTAAATTTACATCCAGATTCTTACAATGTTTGACCATTGGCAGATTTTGTTATCACAATATGGGATATTTAAAAACAAAGATGATGGAAAGTAAAATACAGATGAATTTGGTTAGATTGAAAAAAATTATTTCAAAATATTTTGAAACTACCAGCATCTCTTGTTCATGTGCAGTCAGAATAAGGTCAACAAACTCAGTCCGATGGCTGGATGAAATGTGTTACAAATAAACTTTCCATTTTGTCTTGCAATTTCCTCAATACTGTTCTTAAGAAGCTGCATACAAAATGCTGGTATTTAAAATATTTTTTTTACTTAGCTCTAATCTTGGATTAGAAAAAAATTTTTCTCGTTTCAGCTTACATGAAATCATTTGCTCTCTGAAATTGATAGTGCTCTGGTATAGAATTTAAAAAATGATTCAAAACAAAATGGTTTATCAGACTTGACTAATCAGGAACTGCAATTGACAAATGAATCCTTGTTGCCATCTACTGACCTGGACTGATTCCAGGCTTGTTAGATGAAGTGCTGTATTTGTAATGTTTATAAACTTGAAAAGACTCATTGACATATGATTAAGAATGCCCATTGTTCTCTTTTCTTCCTTTTTGTAGATACTAAATCTGTTACAGAAATAAAACTGGAAAATAACAGAAAAATGGTCACTCATATCTCAACCAGATCAGTTCAATTCAGCAATCCCAAGAAACATTGGAAAAAAAACCCCCAAAAAGCCCACACTTCTAACCATGTATGCAGATGATTGCAAGTTGCCATTCCCAAAACACCTTTGCTACCAAGAAAACCACACAGTTCTGAAATCTATATTAGCCTGACTTATACATCTGATAAAGAAGCTAAAGAATTTTTTTTAAGCAGAGATTCTATACCAGATAAACACTGAAGAATGGCTTGGCGAAAATGTTATAGTAGTGTTATGAGTTCATAGCAGAATTGAAATTTGAATCTTTGTATTGCATTATGCCTGAATCATTTATCACTATTTCTAAACTGGGTTGAAGCAGTGAACCTATTAGGATCAGTAATGCCAGTTGATTTAATCAGTTACATGTTAAATTTTTCTTTTTCTTATTTTTTTTTTTTTAGAAATATCTTCCCATTTACTGGTTTGCTCTTTGCAACTTCTAGCGAAAACAATAACTTCTTTCATTGTTGCAGCATTCCCTATAGCAATACTGAAGATGCACAAATCAAACGCTGTCCTGTGTGCCATGTTCCAATCGAACGTAATGATGGCTGTGCTCAAATGATGTGCAAAAGATGCAAACATGTTTTCTGCTGGTATTGTCTCACTTCTCTTGATGTAAGTTCTCTTTTCTTGCTTTCTTCATTTTGATTTAATTATTTCTATTTTCAAAAAATTATCTATAATGAGCACTTATAAGTCTGCAAAAGTCACTATGGATATCATAGGCCAAAAGAATTTATACCAGGACCCAATTCACAAAATTTAACTATACATTGTATTTATTTTTAAATCTCTCTTCAACCTTTTAATGTTTGATATTAACTTTTTTAGTATTTTAATATTGGCTATCAATAAGTTTATTTTATATATATATATATATATATATATATATATATAGTGTTTGTGTGTGTCCAAGTAACTTCTCCACCTCCACTGGTCCAATTTCAATGATTCAATACATTTAAGCTAGCTCCAGTAGAGGACTCTTGGTTTTGCCATCATCACAATAGCTAGGGAGAATTAGATGCGATAGGCATCAATAAACTAAAGAAAAACTTAAAATTGATTGCTGCATTTAAGTATTGAGTTAATGTTTAAGTTTACCTTTTAAAAGTTCAATGATAATTCTTCTACTGCCACTTAATTTAAAGATGATTTGATGTATGTAGGTCCTTTTTTTCATTACAAACAATTTTTATTTCATGGGTGACAGAACAGGGGACAATTTATAAAATTAATATAGTATAAAGATGGGAAAATAGAAATTAGAATTACTTATACATTCAACATTTGAAGTGTTAAAGAAACATAATAGCTAATTAAGTAAAATCTATATTATAGAAATCTATATGAATAAATGCAAAATTGGAGCACAATTCTCCCACGAATTCCGAGATTAAAAAGCCCCAGTTTTACTTTATAGTAATTTATGCATTAAAAGCTAAATATCTGTATTATATATTATCTACTTCTAGGCAATATCACTCTTCAGGTCTAATTAATTTGTATATTGATTTTTAAAAAGTTTAATGCATTAATTAACTGTCCCTCATTACTGTTCTTTTATTCGAGGATTGTTTTGATTTTCACAAATAGTTCTGTTTAGGAATATTGTCTTATATAGTGCAGAAAAGTGTTTGAAATTTGCATTTTACTTGGTCTTCAACAAGTTGGCATCTATTTGTAAAACTTTCCTTAGCTATAACAAGCCAATTTATGAATGAAATGTTCATTTAAAATTTGTTTCAAAGATTTCAAGTAATGAATATATCTTACTTTGTGAAACGATAGTGAGCAGGCAAAGCCTGCTAGTGTGTGTGTGTGTGTATATATATATATATATATATATATATATATATATATATATATATATATCTTATTATAAAACACCAGATTGTGTGTGTGTCTGTACGTTTATATATTGGATTGGATTTCCTACATTTTTCAACAGATTTCAACAAAACTTCACAGGACTACATAAAATTACCTTGCGGTGGTTCTGACAGCACCAAAAATTGGAAAAACAATTGTTTTTGCATGAAATCAATTTGAAAACATGATTAAGAGGCATCGCGAGAATGAAAGGGGGACAACTCATATCGGGTTATACTTATTATAAAACCCAGGTTGTTTGTCTGTGTGTGTTCGTTTATATATGGGATCAGATTTCCTACATTTTTCAACCAATTTCAACAAAACTTCACTTTTTTTTGGTGGGTAGTGTTTCTTATTGTCTTGCACATTTTTTTCTTTATTTTGACATTCAGAATGCTTTAAAAATTCCATTTACAAGACAATTGTTTATAATAAAATTCTATTCAATCAGTAGACTCATAACGATTGAAAACGATGTTTTTTTTCGGTTTGACCAATTCGTAAAAAAAAAAAAAAAAAAAAACTAATTAAGACATGCGTGTCCATCAACCTTAAACAATAATCTTTGTCAATTTTATTTTTCAGTCTTTATGATGGTTGATACTTGATCTATCTCTTACTATTATATCCCCGGGCTCTACTGCTAGTATATATATAAAAAGTGATGTCTTGTATCTTATTTAGGCATGCATTAAATTCACCTTTCACAATTATTTTCATTGTACAAGCTGTTTAACAAAATTGGGAATCTTATAATAAAAAACATTTTCTATATATTGCTAAATATTTTTTAATTTAATGTATAAGTGGTAAATTTAAAAATATTATACTCTTATGATTCTATAAACTTATTTCTGATCTAAATGTTAATTTTCCTTTGATAGATTTTAGTTTCAATAAAAGCTAAATATTAACCTGTCAAATATACTTCTAACTTATTTTTAATATAATAAAAAAAATGATCCAAAAATCCTTTTTCAACTTCATACTTGAAAAGATCCAAATGTTTGGTAGTTCCTTGGAAGAAAGATTCTTTGCTTCTGCCTTGAGTGTTTCCGTTTCTTCACCCCAAGGTCATCAACTTGGAACTGGTAATCAAATGTTTACTACCTCTTTATGAAGATACTGCATTCTAATCTAAAATTCTGTTTACTTTAAGGATGATTTCCTCCTTCGTCACTACGATAAAGGCCCATGCAAGAATAAACTTGGACATTCCAGAGCATCTGTGATTTGGCACAGAACACAGGTAAGTCGGTCAGTTTTTGTATCATGGGTTTGTAAACGGACTATCTCTGCACTTTCATTGATTTCTCATGTCAGTGGACGAGTGCTTAATAAATCTTAGTTTTTTTTTTTTTGTTTTTTTTTTTAAACTGATTCTGGATTATGAATGAATTAATGAACTGTTTGATCCATAAGTGACAGTTAATATTTAAGTTTTTCACTTGGGGTTCAAGGGAGGTGTATTATTCTGGCACAGTTTTAACAAATTCATTAAAGGGAGCTTATAGGGGGCAGTCAAAAGCCCAGTGTTAAGATTGAGAGATGGTTTTTGAGGTAAAAGTTAATAAGAGGCATTTTGGGCTTATTGTCTTCCTCTTGATTTTTAACAAATAACAATTTTGAATTACTTTTCTGATAAACTCTTTTTAATATTTCAAATAAAATGTGAATATTTGGGTGGGGAGACAAATATTTTTATTGTAAACTATTAAAAAAAAAATAAGCTTTTTATGATTTGTCCCCAACTGGCTTAGTTTCAAACAGTTGTTCAAATAATTTTTACTTTTGAAATTTCACTTTAAATCTTTCAAAATCCCAAGTAGGAAGGAATTTGTATTTGTAGATTTTTTAAAATTTAATAGAAATTAAATAAACTTGCATTTAATATAAAACTTTTAAAAACATGTACATTTTTCTCCAAAATTTCAAATTTTAAAAAATATTTACTAAAATCCCTAATGTTAACTTCATTGTAAAATGAAAATTTAAGTCAAAATTTACCATAATCTTGCAAAATTTGATAGATTTTAAAAATGAGTAAGTCCAAGATTATGTATGTGTGGCTCAGAATTAATTTTAGTTTAGTAACTGAAATTACCTTAGCAGTGTTCACTTGACTTTATTTTACTATTGAATTTTTTCTTTTTCCAGGTGGTGGGGATCTTTGCTGGATTTGGTGTCCTCTTACTAATTGCTTCACCATTTTTGTTGATGGCCGCCCCATGTATTTTGTGCTGTAAATGTAAATTGTGTAAATGCTGTGAAGATGAGGAAGGAGAGGGACTACCATCCTAGCAGACAGGTTAAACCAGAGCAGCAAAAATGCCAGCTTCACCCATTCAAATTACATCCCTTATCAGCATGTGTGGATACAAAAACAGCCTATTACATAGGGACTGCAGTACTTTCCACCATTTCTCCTTCCTCGTGATTAAAATAAAAAAAAAACAAATCCACAAACACAAATCTGCTGTTGAAACCTAAGCATCTGTATTTTTGAGATGAGGAAAACAATTTCTTTAGATTTGCCCTCCTTGTTATCCTGTTTTTATTAGTTAATCTTTAATGTTGGGTGGAAACTGTATCCTCATTGGTCTAACTGGGTTACAAATAAAAATAGATCTCTACACCATTTGCTTGAGGATACATGTCTTCTGTCTGAAGATTACCAAAATGTTACAATGCCATGAAGGGTCAGTCTGAAGAAATATAACTCTTCAGTGCCCCCTCCCCCCTTTATTTTAAATTGCAAAAACAACCTAAAAGCCTACAGAAATTTTCTTCAGCTAGCATTAAATTTTTATATTTTTAGTCTTTTGTCCCATTTTGGTAGATAGAAATCTGAAAGTGCTATGGCTGTTCACCTAAGCATGAAATCCATTTTAATTACAACTAGAATTCATCTTGACATGAAAAGACATGCGAGACAGATTAGGACACATTTGTTAACCTTGTCTCAAGATGCTGCCATTTGAGGAGAGGATCCGAAAGGCCGCCTTTTGGTGGACACAGACAAATGCTTATACTCTTTTGCCTTGCAGCGAGAAGAAACCACTTGATCCAGATCGTAAGTGAGATTACATTTCTTATCCAGTTGAGCCTGGTGCTGCTGTTTTGGCTTCTTTACTTGAGGAGAGGAGGAAAGGATATTTTTGGACTCATCATCCATTTTGTCTTATTCCAGGTTCATATAAACAGCTGGCTATTGCATTTATGTCAGTGTTTAAATGTTATCACACTGTAAAATGTCTTTTTATATCATTCTCAGGTTTTTTTTCGCTCCTATTGCAGTAAAGTTAATCACCTGATCAAAGTTTAAACTGAAAATCAGATTGCAACAGTAATATGCAAGTATTTTCTGTTTTCTCCCCACCCCAACTTCATTGGGAGGAAGGACACTATTTTCCCTAAACTTTGGTTTGTGTGATTTATTTTCTACTTCAATAGCAAAAACTGATAGTGCTTATGAAAATAAAAGGGACCTTAATATTTTTTTTTTTTTTTTATATACACTCCCAGTTTTTATTTCTTTGTATTAAATGTTTTCATGTAGTAGTTATCAAATTTCTTATAAGTTTTAAAAACCTTCAGTGCTAAATTTTTCTTTTTCTGTTATCCCCTCTCACACCATTTATTAGAAAGCAGGGAAGAAAATTTTCTACACTCTTAATCTGTGGAAAGCATGAAATAAGTGAATCTAAATTAAAAACCTGTGCCTATTCAAGTGGATAGAGAATGTTTCAGGATATAAATGCAAGAGACTCAAATTTCTGTTAAAATTGGATTTTTTTTTTTTTTTTTTTTTTTTTTTTTTAACTATATAGCATAATTTTCTGTTTGCTGGAATCTTTGCTCATGCCTTTAGTCTAAAATTTCCAACAGATTGATAGCCCTTACCATGAATGTTTCGATTTGGGCAAGATTCCTACTGGAACTTGGTTTCTCCCTGTGCCTCTTTTATCTGATCTGCCCATTTGTTTGCTTAGCTGTGGCATGTGCCAATTGGAGCCAGATCAAGCCACCTCTTCACCCAGACATGTCCTATCATTCGAACCATACTCCCTATGTTTGTGAACTTTGTTTTCCATTGGTCATCCATTTTTTTTTTTTTTTTTTAGCTAAGGTGGCCTCATATATTCTTGGAACAGCTCTCTTGAAGATCACAGAAATATTTAAAAACAAAACTCACAAATGTTAATTAATTAACCTGATTCTGAAAATTAATTAGAAACTACCAATTCCAGAATAAATAGCTGTTGACAGTGTAATGAAGCCACTTCCTTCTTTTAGGAATTAGAGCAAATCTATTTTAACTGATGGTCCACATTATGCTTAACATTTGTTTACAAATTCAAGGTTATTAAACATGGCACATTTACAATGTAAAGTACAATATTTTTAAAGTTTCTTTTCTACCCTCTTTTTGGCGGCACTTTCTTCATTGTTTTTTTTTTTTTTTTTTTTTTTTTTTTTTTTTCAAAAATTGTCCATTCTACCTTGTTTTTGGTCACCGTCCATTAAAACTTTTTTTGTTAAGTTTTTTCTTTTTACAAATTTATTGAAAGTTTCTGTAAAATGAAATGTGCATAGTAAGTTTCCTTCTTGATCTTTCCCTCCACTTTTATATCATTTATTAACCACCACTTCCCCAATTATCTGGTTAATATTTTAAGGAATAAAATACTAGTGGGTTCTCTAATTGAAAAAGAAATAATTAGCTGTTAGTTTTTGCTCTTATGAACTTAAGATAAAAACTTTCCGTGTTTTTTTTTTTTTTTTTTTTTTTTTTTTTTAATCTTGTGAGGCTAGATATGTATATACATTGAAGAAACTTAGCCTCTTCCCCCTTTTATTTAATTTTAAATCTTGCTGCTGACCCCTTCACTGCTTGACCCCTTGCATCTCAATTTGGTGCTGTGATATGGATGGCTCTCTTGCTCCCTTCTATTCTTCTGTCAACACCAAAATGTAGATTAGTTTAGAAAATTCACACTTTTCTTTTTTTTTTTTTATGTTAATATTTCATTTACTTGCATTATTAGGAGCCAGACCAATCAAGTTGGGGACTGATTTGCAATGTTTGAAATATTCTGGTTGAAATTAGTAAACATTAAGGGGGATTATTTTTCTTCCTCCAAAAATATGAGCCCCAAATCTTTTCATTTAAACTGATAAAATAAAGATATTTGGCTTAGTAAGATGACAGGGGAGTTGCACAATATTTTAAGTTCATTTCAATGATAACACAATCTTAACTTGAAATTCATTACTTTGCTTGAATTCTTATTCAGCAGACTGTTTTATATTAAAATCAAGTCACTTAATTCAAAGCAGCTTTTTGTGATTTTTAAATACCTTGATAAAGTTTGATTTTTTTTTCTTCTTTCCACTCTGCAGTGTGACAACCAGACTGTTTCACTTTTTATCTTGTGTTAAAGATCTTGGTACTTAAGACACATTTCTCTGCACAATTGAGCTAAATTTGCAAAAATGGCCAAAGACCAACTCTACTTGTACGACTTACATGTGACCAAATATAAAATTCTGAGATTCTGAATGCCTGCTTCAATGAATCTTCAGAAATCAAAAGCACCAATTATTGTGCTTCAATCTTTGACCAACTGAATCCTAATTAACCATTTGTATCTGAGAAATTCTGCTTTTAATTAAAAGCAAAGGGCATGAGATTATATGCCACACTAATAACTAATTGAATTTCAAAAGGAAAATTAGATGATGGGTCAGAAAGTTTACTTTGCTTCATTTGTGCCTTAAGGTACTTCTCCGATACACTCGATTAATTAGGAATTTATGAAGTTTATCAGTTGAGTAATATCAGATGATGGTTAGACTTAAAAGAAAAATTTTAATTTGACACATATCTCCCTCAATAAGATTAGATGCTGACCACTTATTTTATAGTCTCTGTAAAATGGTGTTTGTGCATTTAATGTTAAAATGGTTTGTGTTAATTTTCTGAACAAAACTTCAAACATGAATACACTTATGACAATTGAGAGCTATTTTTATCCTTGTAAAGGAGATATCCATTCACTTGCCCAGGATGTATAAAAGAAGTATGGGCCCACTTTTATACTTGCTCCCTGAAAAACGTTTTTAGTTACTGCTGATCCTCCTCCACCTTACTCTTGTGTTGACTTTGAAGAGGGCAGGTTGGAAGCAAAGCATCACTTCTTGCCCACTCTCCATCTCACCATGGCAACTATTTGTTATGGTCCCTCCATCCCATCATTTTGTTGCAGGTTGTCTCTAGTCAAATTGAATATTAAGAAAATTAATGTGGAGAAAATCTGCCCCCATCCAATACTTTAAGAACCTGAAACATTTTTCTTTAATGTTTTTTTTTTTTTGTTTTAAAATGTTTTATTTTTTAAATGTTTTGATTTTATTCATTGTAAATTTTTCTTTCTTCTTTCTTGATTTTATTTTCCTGTGTACAAGACTGCCTGAATGGTATATCATGGTTTCAGATCTTTAAAAAAAAAAAAAATAATAAACATTGGTTTTCTGTCTAAAAATCTTTTCTTGATATTTTTTTTTATATATATAAAATGATTTTGATGGTTAAAAACAAAAAAAAACCCTTTTAATGTCCATTAAAGCTGCCAAAAAGAACCCTGGAACTAATGATTTTGAAGGATTGTTAGCACATTAAATTATTGGGATTAGATCTAGTTTTATTGTCTTTTTCTAGAAAAACTATTTCCTTTAGTGGAACATTAACTTAGTGTAGAAGTGTCCTGCCACAATGACCACATCTTAAGCTCAAGTTTTACTTTTCTTTTTTTTTTTTTTTTTTTAACAAATAAGTACATATTTTCTTAGCTGTGTGCTTAAATGTTTATAAAAAATAAAATATTAAGTTTCATTTTGATCTTAAGGATGCCAAATATTTGTAGCTTTGAGTATCAACAATTACTGCTGTTATTGATATTAATCTTAGACAAGATGGCAAAAAATTAAGTTAAATTGTCTAAAAGATTTTGTTGGCTATTTTATGCTTTAATAAAATATAAAATCTGCAGTGACCAAGTACTTTAAAAAAAAACGTTCATGCAGCAAATAAGAGAAAAAAAGAACATGTGTGCAAATATTTACATTTAATGCACATTTGATTGTTTAAAAAAAAAAAAAAAAAAAAAAAATCTTCCAGTATTTGTATGTTGGTTGGACACATCAGGCAGTAGACAGTGGCTCTTGTTCAACGCTTCACATTGCAGCACAACCATTTACCAAATTGCCTCTCACACATTTGGAGGCAGAAGCAAAGCTGATGAACATAGACTTTTCAGCACAGATGCCAAAGTTCTTTCCTTGGTAGAGTTATTGGGGCATTTTGTGGTGGTGCCATTTGGAGGGAAGGCAGGCAGATTGATACTTGTTGTGTTGCATATTCTAATGAGCTCTTTCCAATGGACATAAATATTTAGAATTGGTCAGTTTGAAATGGAAGACCATCTCTTACCTGATCCTGTTTTTTGTTAAATATATTTACATTTAGCTTGTTTTTATCTACACAGTTGAATTAATTTGCTTTGATTCATTTAATATTAGAAACAAAAGTGGCTTGTCTAACATGAACAAAAAAAAAGTTGGTTCTTATTTTGAAATGTAATTTAAAGACCAAGTTACATGCTCACTTAAGCATAAAATTACCTGGAATTAATTTAAACTGCCTGCTGGTTTCAGTTCTGCAGACACAATAACTTGTACCTCTGCCCATTGCCAAAAGATATTACCTGCTATATTTTCAAGTAAATACTTTCCCCTCCACCCCAGGGAATAAGACGGGACCATTTGGGAAAAGAGACCACAATTCAAGCAGAATTTATTTAATGATGAAACTTGTGTTATAAGACTACTAAAATTTATCAGCTACTGCAGGTCTCCCTCCCCTTAATCTAGTACAGAAAATAACACTTAGCTTTAAACTCTGAAAAATTAATAAAATTATCCTACTGAGTCTGACAGTTGAGTTGGAGAAAATATATTTATTTTCCCCTTTTCCTTAATTTTAATTTCTGCATTTATTAAATTTTTTAGACATTTTAGAAATTAGTGGAAGTAAAATTATTGGCACCTTGTTGCTGAATGCCTATCTACTTGCCAACATAAACTTGAAAAATTTGCCTTGTCTGCCCAGTGGTCACTTTTTTTTTTTTCCCTTGAATGGTCCCAAAATCAGTGTGAGTTAATAATGTACATTTTAGTTGTTGGAAGATTGTCTCCCTTATCACAGAAAGGGGTCCCAATTAATAAGTCCAAATGTACACTAGAGGGATGAAGCTCATCCCTTATGTACAAAATAAATAAGTACCCAGCTTTCCACCCTATTTTTTTTCTTTTTTTTTTTTTTTTTTTGTGTATATTTGAAACCTTATTTTACATATAACAACTATCTTCCCCCAAACTTAGTATGGGAAAAAAATGACAAAAACTGTACAAACATGTACAAGTGAAATGGAACCAGATCTGGAATGAAAGTCCAACACCACAGCCATTTTGTAAGGGAACATGAAATGAAACAAGGAAACTTGAAAGATATCGATTGTGGTAGAATAGGGATTAAAAGCAGGCAGCTGACAGGATGAACCCCAGCTGAATGGGAAGACATCACAATGGCAACTTTAACATTATAGCTTTAAAAAAAAATCTCATCCAGCTGCCCTGATTATCAACCAGTGAATACAGGCAGACCTTCCAGCTATTCAAAGCAATTGACAAATATATTCACTCTTCCATGTCCCCCAATACTTAATCTGTTACAGTGCTATCTTTTGCCCTGTTTGTTGTAAGTCACTATGTGAGCTACATGCCACTAAGATTGAATTATCTCATAAATGTGTGGCCTTAAAAAAAAAACAGAGGCTTGTATTGATAGGTGGAACTTGCTTATACTCAAGAACAGTTGCTGGGATTCAGTGGAGGAAGAAAGAGAATCTGATATATTACCTTGGACCTGCTCAAACGATTGTCTGGCTCAGAATTCTGCTTTGGTGGGTCTGGCCTTCCCACTATATAAGTCTCTTTACAGTCCAATAGGATTGGTGGCAGGCTAAATGAAGCCTGGTTTGAAAAGGCCAGAGGTAACAAAACAAATTCCCCCTCCTGGCCAGAAACCATAACCTGCTGATATTACCCGCCAATCACTGCCATTGACTACCACAAAAGATACAGCAACTGAAAAAATATATTTACGATGTTCATTTGAAGAACTGGTCCCATCTCAGTAAATATTGTTAAGGGAGAAAGGAATGAGATTGTTTTATCTCTTAGTGATCTACTGACAATGACTCACCCGGTACCTGGGTGTGCCTGTTTTGCCAAAAATTAAAATGGACCAAAAAAAAAAAAAAAAATTGTGTTAAGTGAACTTTAGTTTTTCTGAATGCTATTTTTCTCTAACCAGTTTTTAGTGTCTAGATGAGGGAATTTTGAGATGCTTTCATTGAATACCTCTGATGCTGCCTTAATTTAAATCTGAAATGGAACGTAAACAGTCTTGACAAATTCTAAGCTGCCTCTGCCAGCTCGGAAGAATATCTGGCTCCTGGTGAATCTTGGTCTGCTGCTTGTTTCAGGAACAACACTTTCACTCCTGCAAGCATGAGTGTTGTTTGCCATCAGTTGCTATTGAATTATTTGAAGGCTTAATGAAACTGTACTGTTCATTAAAACTGGTGCAGGATATTCAACTGGGAAGGAAATCAGTCTAATCTAAACTAAAGAGAAGAAATAATTATGCAAAATGATTCAAGCCCTAGCAAGGAAATCTGTGACAATGAATCTAAAAAGCAGAATCAACATCTAGGAAAAAAGGTAGCTATCCTGCTATAGGTGAGAATGATAAACATGTGGTCATCTATTGTTAGTTGTATTATTCATGTGTTTAGCATCATTACATTCAGATGGCAAAAGCTGTGTCTATTGTATCTAAATCTGTTTCTTAATATTCAATAGCAACTGAGGCTGCCATTAAATTCTAAACAAATTGAAGACCCCCCCCTCCAAAATGACCCTATGCTCACTTAATTTTGACCATTTTAATCTTTTTTTTTTTTTTTTTTCTTTAAATAAAATCAGTTGATTTTTCTCAGCTTCACCTATTTAACAAAAAAGCTACTAGATTTATTTTTTATTTCCCATATAAGTTTGAAAACCCACAATATTCTAACATCATAGTCTAGATTTACTTTGGAAAACTTTTTTGTTCTTCAACTTTCCCAGACCCATCTTCCCCTGGCCCAATTTGCATACTGTCTCTCCCTTCCTGCCCATGGTATCATTTAAAAAAACAAAACAAAAAAAAACTCTGAGCCATTTTCTCCTAGTGGAAACTCAGTATTATATACGTATTTGTCAGCCACACATCTCCTGATTCTTTTTATCACCAAGTGGCCCCGGCCAGGAAGGGCAGCCCCCAGAGGCCACCAAGACAGTAGCAAGCCTAGTGGCACCAGTATTGCAGGTATGGTGCACATGTGGACCTTCTGCCAGTGCCAGAAACTCACAGGAATATCCTTGGAATCAAACAGCGGACCTTTTCAAGATTTGGATTTTGTTTCACCAAGGCGGCACTGACCCCTTTCCAGACTTTTGCTGATGGCATCACGTAACTGTTGGCTGGATTTTCACCACGCATTAGTTGTAATCTTCCAATATGGTAGACACCTGATAAAAAAAAAAAAACAAAATTTATTGAAACTAAATTTAATTCAAATGGAAAAAAAAATTTTCTAATGTAAGGTGAAGGCTTCAATAATATAATTTTTATTTGTCTGTACCCATCTTTTAAAAATTAAAAACTGGAATAGTTATTGTATAGTTATATTATATTGTTTTTTTTTTTTAATTACAGCCAACAATCATAATCATGCACTTATTTTAATGAACCAAAGGATAAATTTTATCAATACTAAATCAGAAAATATTTTTGGTTACTTGCAAGTTTTTAAGGAAAATACTTTATTACAAATGTAGATTATTCAAATGTTTATATGCACAACAAAATCGAGTGTACCAATCACTCCTTGTATATATTTGTCACAGTAACAAAGTACAAATAGTACATGTTTAAGTGTTTGCACTGCAGACGAAAAAAAATGAACTATATTTTAATTCAAAAAGCTTATTCATCATTAAAAGTAATGTTTGCAGTGGTGTGATATGTTAGCATAATTTGCTTCAAAGCTACCTGGTCCACTCAATTATAAATTGTCCCTTTATAAAAGGCAAATGGATATCTTCAGAAATGCACTTCACTGGCTGATCTCAGAAGATTTAAGTTTTCAATTCAAAACAGCTATACATAGCAACAGATATTAACAGCTCAGAGTTTTCCAAATATTAACATTTTCCTGCTTAATGCAATTTCAAAAAAATGATTTTATTTTATTTATGTAGCTATTTGTTTACTTATTACTGATGAAGTTTATCACAAAAGTCAGAAAGCATGATGATCTGTTTGAATTTTCAGTGTAAATTTGCAACCTGGCTAAAATGAATGATTTTTCTTTATTTTTGAAAAGAGCAAAATGTCACTTACCTGAGTTATAATGATGGATTCTTTGTTTGGTTTTTCTCACCTAAATGAGAAGATGAATAAACAGCAGAAAGTTAGAAACTGATGTGCAGAAAAAAAAACAAAAATCAAAATCAAAGAAAAAATGAGCAAATATTTATACTTGAGTGAAAAATTCTAATCCAGATTGACTCATTTGTTTTAGTGGATTCAGTGAAAAAATGCTGATTGATCAATAGTTTTTAATGAAATGAGAGAAAAGTTTTTAAAAGAAATGAATTAATTTTGGCAACTGCTTCCTCCTTTTGCATTGGAAAAGAGATTATGGTAGTTTTAAAAAGCCTTGTCTCGTCTTCATGTATTTTTTTAGAAAATGGAGAAAGAAAAGTGATTGTATGTCTACAGGAAGCATTTGGGCAGATAATTATTTTTAATAATCAAAATTACAAAAAAAAAAAAAAATAAAAAAATAATGTTCAGCAGAGACTGATTGACTTATGTTACAAAAAGGCTTAAAGAAATGATACCAAAATCTGGATCAGTATTAGTTTTTCTCCAGGAGAAAAAATGTTTGTCTGAATGTAATAACAGCATTTGGATTGTATCTTGTGTTCTATTTATTTGCAAATTACAGAAAATAAATTTTCCTTTAAAGTTTTAATTATTAAACAAGACTTTGCTGTGTTTACCAAGAAGGTATAACTAATGCAGATGTAATGCTTCAAGTGCATATTTGTGTATTCAAGTTAGAAATAGTCGACTTTTATTTTAGGGGACTTGGTAAGAGGAGAAGCAGGAATACAAAATAATTGATCTCTAGAACATCATAACTAATTTGGGAGGCAATTTTGAAAAAGAATTCAACATACTGGTTCATCATACAAAAGATAAAATGTGATCTATTATTAAGAGAGATGATGTGCATGTTCCTGACAGCATACACAATGTTGCACTCCTCTTATTATTATTATTTTTTTTTTTTTTTTGCATTTTCTCAAATAGGGCAAAAGACAAAAGCAGCAAGACATCTGAACTCCTAAAAGAACAAAAAAAGAAAATATGAAAAGGCATCTATTGTGAGCTACTAATGTTGCCAATTGCTTGTAAAATATGACACATTTAAAAAGGTTTCAACAATATAAAACAATCTTTTTTAAAGTTAGCTTCCAAAGACATTAAGTTGGTATGTGATTTATTGAATAAAATCAAATATAAAGATGAATCTAATTTTTTTTTTTTTTTTAGGCACAAACATTTAAAAATAAAATGAATTGTTTGTACATAGAGGATGAATTAAAAAGGCTTTAAAAAATTAATGATGCATTTTAAAGATGAAGTTTTGCAAGAAATAAAAATTCTAACCATAATTTCATCTGGCAATCTCTAAATGCACCGACAAGAAACAGTTGTCCTCATGAGATCAGCAACAACCACATAAAACAGTTTACAAATAAAACATTAAGAGATAAAACTGAGAAGAAATCAACAGGAATAAATAATCTTTGATGGCAATGGAGTTTATTTCCTGTTTGTATATATCTATGCAGACATATAGCAGAGGAATAATCTGACTCAATGAAGCTGACAAGTTGTATCTTCTGTATTAGATTAATGAGATATGTTTACTGTGTTAAGAACTGGCAAAGTTTCACATTTTTACCCACAAAAAATGGTGTGTCAAGAGAAAAAAAAAAACATCCTTTTGACAGTTTTTCTCTTGACAGCTATTACTCGGAAATATTTATTTTTTTTAAAAACCTATAACTGGAATTTTAATGAAACCAGATTTATGCATTCTCTTTTTCTTCGCAAGAATTGGCAACAAAAAATTAAATACTATTTATTAGATTGTCTATTTTCAAGAATAATTTTATATTTACAGGTTTATAAAAATCTGAACCAACTATTTATCATATACAGAAATAACTGAAAATTATTTCTATTCATAAATTTATAAAAATGTTTGTGAACAAGAGAAAAAGAAAATTTAAATAAACACAACTACAGCATGATTGAAAAGTAACTCCCTATTTTATATATGATGGACTCTCCCATCTTGTAAAAATTATAGTTAGACGAAAGAGTCCATCATACCTAAAATAGGGAAATACTTTTCAATCGTGTAGAGGTAACTACAAATTTTGAAAAAAAAAAAAAACATTTTCTAAGCATTTTTTTCATTCGATAAATTCACTGAAATAGGTTGCAAGCATTTGGATTTATGCTTTTTTTTTTCTTGAGAATTAGTAACAAAAATGTTAAAATGCTATTTATTTATTAGACTGTTTAATTACAAGAATAGTGTTTAATACTTTTGTTATCAATTCATGAGAAAAAAGAGCATGTATAAAATCCAGTTTCATATTTTTGGGTTTTATTAAAATTCTAAAAAATAGTCTTTTAAAGCAATAAAAATTGCAGAAATCCAGCTTAGATCATTTATAATTCAAGCAGAAGATATATTTTACTTAAGTACAAACCTTATCTTACAAATGTGTAAGATAAAAATATAATAATTGCTTCCAAGTTTCAATTCATCCTCCCTGTAATCAACAGAATTAAGAGAAATATAAACTTAGCATATTCAGATTTTAACTGGAAATGTACAAACATATTTTATGAAGATATGATAAATATAAAGAAGTTTGGTGACCAAAATAATAACAATAGAAAAAGTTAAAACTACAGAAATTATTTATCATAAGCAAGTTCATGTCTTATTGAATCCCAGCTAACAAAAATCAAGCATGAGAAACAAGAACCATTCAACATTTTTAGCTTCTCTTCAGTGCACTAAACATCTTTAGATTTCTCAGGGAATATGAAAAATGCTTGACATGAGCAACATGTAGACTGCTATTACTCTGTTGGAACAGCATCTAACCTTCTTGGTGTAAAAGTGGCAGTGGGATGGGTTGAATAGTATTCTGAATGTAGATTGCAATGTTCAACATTCCTTCCATAAATATGAAAGACAAGTGAGCATTGTAACTTATGGCATCCCACTCTATAATGCCAGCAATTTGGCCTGTGTGTTGGGAGCAAATGCACTCTGTAGAATGTCGCCCTCTCCCTGCAGAATTATGTACAAAGAAATGATCATTACTTGCATGAAGGCAGAACCTGTTCTCATCACTGAAAACTACAGCATGGCATTTCATCTCCCAGGTGATCTGCTTGTCATGCTACTAGAGACATGTACAATAGTGTTGTGGTGAAAGTGGATGTCTGGTGAGAATCACAACAGTCCTTACTGTCATACCTGGGCCCACATTTGTTCTGATCTTAGCAGTGGACACTGTGTATTCTCTGCCATTGCTTCCTTTACACTGTCAATCTTGGTGAGCCTCTGTACCATATGGTCATCCAGAACCTGGTCTACGAGTGTAGAAATATTCACTTGACTGCTGTTGGCAATATCAATGCACCATTGATTCATCATGTCCAACAGGCACAGCAATTCTCTGAAATGAACATTAAGCCACTTGATGTCCTACAATCCAACCTGTTTAAATGGCTCTACTTGAACAAATGGAACATGTGTTTTTCTGGAGCAAGACACTTGCTTGCACTGGACTCTTTCACTACTTATTGTCACATGCATCACTGTCTAAAGTTCAGGCACATATGTCACAAGATGGTCAAAGACTTTGAAAAAATTTTCAGAAAATCTACTACTCCTTAGCATGTACAGAGTTTTGCAATTTTATTTTCTGTAAGTTTGTGTTCAGTGGTTTATAACAAAAATATAATTGCTGATATTTCCAAATAATATCTCTCCCACTGTGTGAGAATAAAAAGTAATAATTTACTTTAAAATCATTGTGTTGTGTGCATGTATGTATGTGTATATATATATATATATATATATATATATATATATATATATATATATATATATATATAGGCACATGTCCAAGTGGTTAGAATGTTTGCTTTCTAATCATAAGACCCAGGTTTGAATCTCACCAGGGTTGATTTGTTATGAAGGTGACTTCTTGATATTATCATTATGGGGAGGTGATCCCATCATGTGGAACATTTGTAAAGTGCCTGAAAACCACCCAATGGATTGACCCAAGCCTTGTGAGTGAAAACTATTCAGAATCTGTCAATGGTTGTTCTAGCATGAAGTAAACAAGTCTTCATGACTGAGAGTATTGGTGTTGTTCAAAATACTGATTATGACAGATTATATGCACTCTCTCCCAGACACTGTAACTAAGGACCACTCAGCACATTACTGGAGACATTCACATATTGTGTTCAGTGGTTTGTGACATACAGTAGGCTCCATGGGTTTTGAACAAACATGTGCAAGTGTCTAGCAGACAGGTGTGCTTAGCAAACAAGAGTAGTTATTATATATATATAATAAGTCAAGAAAATACTTAAAAATCCATTTCGGTTATAATTTATTTCATGAATATATTTAAATATTCAGACTAAAGGATACTTTAATAAAATGAAATCAATTTGTCCAGACAAAAGAAAGAGGAAAAAAGAAAGAAATGGGTTTTTAAGGATTGTCTTTACTTATTATTATTATTATTATATTGTTCTGTTACTTACATTGATCTCTCTTTGGATTAATGTCCTCCTTGGAATTATCCCTATCAATTACCAATTGGTATTATATATATATATATATATATATATATATATATATATATATATGGTAGAAAAACTTTGTTTAATCTTTCAAAATCAGTTCCCAGAGACATCCAACTCAGTATTAATCATGTTATATTCTTTGTACTTGTTATAGATTAATATAAAAAATAGTTTATTTGCAATCACTGAAAATATTAAATATCCAGATTTATTAGAAACTATAAAGTTGCCAACTCTGTCAAGTTATAATAAAGGACATAAAGAAAAAATATATAATTAGTAAGTTTTAATTGAATTCCTGTATATAGCCAATATAATTGAAAATGACATTTTTTTGCCTTTGAAATTCAACGAAGGACAAGGACAGAAGGAGCCAAATAATGGACTGTGCTTTCCTATGAACGGTGTTGGGCAACCCTAAATATACAGTAAGTGGCACAATTATAAAAATGACCATTTATGAATTTTTTGCTGCTAGAAATACTGAATAAAATATTTTCTGGCTTTAAATAACCTGCAAAAGGTTGATAATCCATAGAAAATGAATCAGTCAATCAACATAAGCATAATCATAAAACAAAAATGATACCAATGAAAATAGCCCTCATCTTGCACATAAAAGCTATTCACAGCTAGCTCTGCTATATATATTTTATTTTGGAAACAATCTATTTTTGTATCAATCCATATTTGGTCTTAGGGAATTTTAAAGAATATTAAAAAAATATACTCACTTTGAAACTTTGAATAATTTCTTTGATTTTTGAAACCAATTAGAATCGAAAAATCGACTGCGTGGTTTCCTTTTCTCATCAGATTGTTGACTGGATAAGCTTTCTTCTCCTTCACAGCCCACTGCTTCAAGGGGCTCGAAGGTAGATTTGCAAGCAGCCCCTTCAAGAGACTGAGAACCAGATTTTTCACTCCCTTTTTCTGCTCTCATCTCTTTCGGTGTGCTAGTTGATATGCCCAAGTCAAATGACATACTTTGTTTACAAAGCTCTCCAATGGTCCCCTTTTTCTTTTTGCCTGTACGTCTGTCAGAGGAGGTGGGTGATGGCATTCTGACATGCTCAGATTGTTTGCTTTGACTTTTTGGTGAATCTTCTGCCTCACCACTGAAGGATTTTGATGATTTAGAAACTTGAGGTGAGGATATCTTATAGAAGACAGAGCTTCCAACGACTTCCCTTGTTGTAATGTCTCTTTCTGATGGTATTGTTAGCTTTTCTGATTCAGATGCAATTGTCTCAGTTGACTGAGCTGAAAAAAGTTCACTCAAAGCACTGCAAGTTGCAGACCTACTTCTGGCACCATCACCTTGCACCTCAGCAGAAGATAAAACAGGCATCGAAAAAGAATTGGATACACTTATAGTTGAATCTGGTTTGCCTTCGTCAATTGTCCTGCCGTCTAAGTTTGTCGACGAGGAGCTTTGGGCTTGATATTCTGGCTGGAATTCACTCGATTTTGGTATTTCAAATGACCTTCTTCTTGTGGGCATTGTAGTAGATGATTCTTGGGTGGTGCCTTTCCCATTCACAATCTTGACACTTTTCACTTTTTCTCCCTTAGTGACTTCTTTCAAAGGAGCACCAGCCTTTGCTGTTTGGACTTGGGTCGACTGTTGTGAAAGCAGAGTTGGTTCTGACTGACCACTGGGGATGTTACACACAATGTGGTAGCCAATTTCAGTCAGTGAATGTGGAGAATCAGAATGATGTAAAGAGATAACTGAACCTGCTTTCGGTGTGGAATCATTCGACCCAGCACTTGGTGTTGGCATTTCTTCATCGGAGAGTCTTTTTGCAAGTACATGAACAAATCCCTCGGACATGTTTTCCTTGTCTTGGGTTTTTTTGGCACTTGCCTCCTGTGGAGGCTTTTTGTCAACGTCTTCTGTTCGAGCACCTCTGAGATGGCTCCTAGTACGATAAGCAGTATGTCCCATTCTATATTTCTGACATTCCTCCAGCAATTCAGTGGCTGGTTTCAGCCTTCGAATGGGTGAGACAATTCCTACCTGTGGAGGACACACTGATGTCTGGCTACTAGGACTTGTACTTCTTGATAGTTTTAGCAGTGGGGTTTCAGAGAAGGGACCAATTTTTTCAGTTTTTGTGGTCTTCTCATGTTTTGGTTTCAGTTCTTTCAGTGTTTGTTTTTCAGTGGACACATTTAAGGTAGTTTGAGGTACATGACTACTCCTTTCTGTAGGAGGAGCCCAGGGACCAATGAGAGAGCTTTGAGATGTCCATTCAGATCCTTCAGTTTCCTGTCTTGTTGCTTTACTTTTATCTGACAGATCTTCACTTTTTGCAAGAGGGGCTGCTTTGCTTTTTTTGAGAGCTGACTTTTTGTATGGGACAGGTTCCTTTGGTTTGCTGACACTCTGCTCCCCACCTGGGGGTATAGCAGATGCAGATGGAGTTTCATCAACAAACAATGGTTTTACTGTGGTCATTCCTTCTAAATCAGGGCTGCTCTCTGGTAAGAGTAGCTCAGGACATTTTGGTTCTCTTTTTAACCAATCAGCTAGGGTTTCTCCCTGATGAAACTTATTAATGTGATCTGCTGTACTACTATCTACAGAAACTTTTGCAGGATCAAGCCCAGGGCCTGGGGTAGTGGAAGTTGCATGTCTTTGAGCAGAAGAAGCAGTTTTACACAACATGCACTGAGAATTGATGGAAGTTGGTTCATGTGTTGATGTTGCTATTGTCTGTGGCATTTGCACGTTCATAGTGGCTAATGAGATAGTAAATGAAATTTGTAAGTGTGACTGGTCAGGATCCTGAACACTATGGCTAACTGGACTAACATAGTCCGTCTCCTCTGATGCCCCATCCGGTATCCGAGATATGGTCTCTGCATCTGTGTGACCAAGAGTGGATACTGGGGTAGAGATTTGAGTCTCTCCTTCGGGTGCTGTTCTCACAGGGCCTAGAGGACTGGCTCCAGCTTCTCTATCTTCCATAGCCAGTGAGTCAATAAACGGTGTTGATGTGGAACGGAAGTGAAGCTCAGGAGTAGAGTTGTTGAGAACAGCTCGTGGTGAGTCACCCTCCAATCTAACTTCCGTCAAGCTGCCAGCAAGATTGGATTTAAAAGCACCTAATGATCTACCAGTGGCTGAAAACCAAAAATAAAAGGCCAAATAGAACCAGCAGAATATACAAAACTAGAGAAAAGTCAATCTTCTGAATAATTTGTCTTTCATTATTTTATAATAAAATTTTTCATACTTTGGAATAAAATTTAGCTGCATTTTACTCTTAATCTAGGATGCAACACCAAAAGATATATTGATTATTCTAAATGGGGTATTAAATGGTTTTTAAATCTTGAAGTATTTTCAAATGTCTTTTTGACATAAACTTACAGCAACAAAATGCTTTACACTTTCACTTCACTTTCTCTCAATAAACATGGTAACATAATTTTTGAAAATCTATTTTAAAACCTTTTAAATTATCAAATAAATTATGTTCATGAAATTTGTTTTAAAGTTAGTTTAGGTCTACTCAAAATGTAAAGTTCACATAACAAAGCACAATTGCATTTTTTATATCATTTGAGTGTTACAAGTTTTCAAGTGCATTTCTAAAAACATACAAAATTAGATTTTGTCCAGTACAAATGATGATCCCCATTTCATGTAAGAAAAAGAATAACATTTTTTCATGCTTAATTATTGACTAACAGTCAAACAACAATTAGGCAGGCCATTGCCTCAAACAAGTTTTGATAAAATTTACTTCATTTTCTTCCATCTTTTCCTGTATCAGCTTTCAACTTTGTTCTCAATATGAAATGTTTTTCTACCATTAAATCCATTTGAAAAATGTATGAGCCATGCCAATAACTAATTCTGATTTTAGTAGTGTTGAAAAGCAACTTGAAAATCAATATAGCAGCAGGTGAGATTAAATAGTTCAATGCATTGTCTTTTTAGTGGGTGAAGAGGTATAACTTTTTAAAGAGTTGCTTGTCAGACCAATTGTTTTGAGCATTTCTGAATAGTTAGTAAAGTAGGAAGAAAAATACATAACATGGCTGGCAACTGAGGAACAAACCATTTAGGTGCCGTGTCTTTTTATGATCAGCTTATTTAAAACAAATTAAGCTAATAAAAAGGAACATGGCTATTCTTATATCAGTTAATTCGTTCATTTTCACTACTGTAATATCCTAAAACAGTTAGCATGAAGCATAGTGTCTTTTTTATGATAATATGTTTTTGCATAAATAGTCATCAACAGTCTCTAATGGATGTTGTAAAGTAAGAGCTTCCTCATCTCTCATTCATTGATTTAACTATAAATCTGAGGCTGTTTGAAAAGCTTGCTTTTTATATTCTTTACATATTATATTCCTATGAGATTAAATAAACAATAACTTGTTACACCATATGTATCAGTATATTCTGTATAATCAATCTATGCACTGTATCTATTTAGACAATCGTCTGTGTATGAGTGATATTTTAGTCAATATATAAATCTTTTTGGAATTAAAGCTCAATATTCTATGAGTACAAAATGTGGCATTCAAATATATTCTAATTGTACAGACAGATTTTGCACCATTTTAACAGAAATTGGGTTGAATACAAATTGTATAAAATATAAAGTTCTAATCCTTAAATTAAAAGCAGACCAAATTGTATAAGTTCTTTTGCCATCAAAGATGTCACTACAATTAAAATAATATTGCATTTTCTCCAAAAGATTAGAAAATAAAAAATGCAGATACATAAAAAGATACATATTTATACATTTCTACTAGTTTTCATTATGCTAGCCTGGATTTTTTTCTTTTTAAACATTTAAAGAATAAATTTGACATTTCAAAATTTGCATTATTTTGGTTTTAAAAGAGAGGACAGAAATACTTTTTTTTATACTTTAAATGTTTTAAAAAATGAGAAACATTTTAAGTCTTAAACTGTATCCAAGCACATAACAATTCTAGGTATTACCTAGTAATTCATGACTGAGAAAAACAAATGCTTGCAAATCAGACCTTATTAAATCTAGAAAACTTCTGTTTCATGATTTCCTGCTAGCCATATTGATGTGTTTAACAAATCTGTACAAAAACTAGAAAAATTTATACTTCATAAATCAACACTATATTTATTTTTGCTTTATTTTTTATATAAAATATACTAAGCAATCAAATCTGTGTTGAATCCTGACATTTATATTTCATGATAGTCTAAATATAAGGCAAGACAAACATTCTGAAAATCAGTATACCGATTATCAAATAAAAGTCACAATGAAAAAAAAGATCCTACTGATATAGTTTAGGTTGACATCTTTAAATCACAGTTTTTATAAGAAAAGTTTACAGGCAAAATCTTTAGGATTTTTCTAGGTAAAGAGACTTATGATAATTTAGACAAGGCATATTTTTTCATCGAGTTTTTCTGCATTAGAGATTTTTTTCAGAAGTTAGTGGAAATAAATGCAAGTTAGACAAAAAGGCAACAAGCAAAAAGAAATCAAATTTAAAGAAAAATTTGGAAGAAAATATTTTTTAAATTGTTTAACAGTTTATAGACTTTGCTGACATTAAAATAAAGTTTGGAACATTTTTCCTTCAACAGCCAAACTAATCTTCAATGTTTAAAAAAAAGAAGAAACAAATTTTATATTTTATTTCATAAATAAAAAAAAAATTAAACTGTTTTAAACAAAGATTATTTTATTTGCACTTCCAAAATATTTTGCCCCATTTTGACAGGCATTTTGCCATTCATAAAATATTTTTCTTTCTTTTGTACAAATTTAACTACACAGTTAAATTTGTTTGGTTTTTATCTCACAACTATTTTTCTTTCTTGGGCAGAATGCCATGCACAAAATCATTTCAGCTCATTTAATTGTGGGCATCTTGCCATACAACATTATTTGCTCCTCTCTATTTTTTTATGGGCATTTTGCCATAAGACACTTATTTTACACCCCACTTTAATAGTGAACAGATTCATTTTGCTCCACTTTTTAAAATGTAGGCATTTTTCCATAGCAGATAAATCCATAAGACATCCTTTTTTACACCTCCCCTGTGGGCATTTTTCAATGTCATTTTATTCTATTTCTCTCTTTATTTGTGGAAATTCCTTTTATCTTCTTGTTACTAAACTGTGAAAATTTTCTCTTCAGAGGTTTACTTTGCTTCTATCTCACATTTGAGAGTGGAGTTAATTTTGCCAAGAAATACAAGGAGTGTTTTTGACTGAGTAAACACAAATTTAAACAGACCTTTCTCTGATAATGTCAGACCAAGATATTTTTTTCACTTTGATATTATTACACCAATTGTTTGGTTTATTATAGAGAATAATATTTCGCAATAGCTAAGCCAATTTATAAAGTAACAGTTAAATACAGAATAGTCAACTAAAATATGAAAAGAAAAGAAGGAAAAAATGGTAAAGGATTTGTTAGTTGCATTTCCCCAAAACGATGCATAACAAATGATGAATATATAAGACAAAGGGGTAAAAATCACAGGTGGAAAAGATTAAGGTGTAAAGCGGCATGGAATAGAAACTTATTTAATGGTAAACTAATACTTTTTTTTAAATCCAAGGGAACAGCTAATGATAGATCATCATCATAAGAAAAGTAAGCAATTGATTACATCTGCTGCAAAATTATCTATATATATATATATATATATAAGTGGACATTGAAGTCAGCACCCAGCAGTGACACTGTTTCATACTTGAATGCAAGTGTCAGGCCATATGCCCATTTATGTCATATCGTCTGACAATTGCATTCAAGCATGAAACAGACTGTTACCACTGGATGTCCACTTTTATATTTATGTACGCTCTATCTCTGTTATTGAGCACTTTAACCCATAAATATAGCATACCTTAAAACTATATTTTCTATCATATATGAGTTAGGATTAAATACAGATCAGAATCTGACAGGATAAGATAAAGAACACAAAGGAAATGTTGATCAATCTAACATGTTTCACATTTATTAAAGTTTCATCAGAGAATGAGATATAGAGAAAAAGAAGAAAGAAATTCTGGTATTTTTTATTTCAAACAACACAAAAGTAAAAAGTACCAAAATGTATTTCTCCTTTTTCTCCACATCTCATTCTCTGATGAAACTTTAATAAATGTGAAATATATTAGATTGATAAACATTTCCTATTTGTTCTTTATCTTACCATATATATATATATATATATATATATATATATATATAAAACTGATTAATTTTGAAATATAACTAGGCACTGATGATAGCAGTTCAGTCATTTCATTTTTTTCAATCATTGATCTGCTTCACATTGTAAACTTCTATTTCATTGTTGGTATCTCAAGCAATTAATAGATTTACTTGCTTATGGATTTAACCAATCTTTTCTTTTCCAGTATCACCAAATTATACTTAGTAAATGCCATTTTAGTATAAACTTTGGATTAGCAGAGGTAGAGATTGGATTACTGTTTAATTATACATTTATACAAATACAGAAGTTTGAAATAAACATCTGATGAAGGGATATAAATAGTAGGTTAATACAAAGCAATAAATAAATAAATTTAAAGGTATGAAGCACATGCCAAAAGAGAATGCAGTTTTCAACAGACAGAGTTAATGAAAAGCAAGTGAAAAGACACTTAACTGACAACTGCTCAGGTATTTAAGCAAACAAGACTACTGAATTTCTGTAGCCTAGAAAGTTTTCACAAAATTGTCAGGTAAGTAGCTTTCTTTACTGATGACAAACTCCTTTTCTTTCTTTTTTATTAACCTGTTTGCAACATTCATCATTACAAGGGATATTGGATTGTCACAAACACACACATACATACATACATAAAGAGAAAGGAGTTTGGTTCAATTAAACTTTTAAGACAGCCTTGCTTTTTTAATCACTTACTGTCTGATAAGGCGGCTTCTTGTGCAGACTGGCTGTCAGGATCTGAGTAGATCTCTTTACTTCTCTCTTTCATACTGACGAATCGATGTAACAAGGTTTTGTCGTCATATTCCCGTCTGCAGGCCTAAGTGGATGAAATAAACAGAAAGCCATTAACCAAAATGTCTCATCCCAAGTGTGTTTCACTGTTGAGTGAACAAGTTGCACAACTGATGGCAACAATCTCACTGCTGATGAACATGGATGTTTGTTTCTTCTGATACCAGTCACCACTTAGAGACTCTGTTTGAAGCCCACAAGCTTTGATCAGGAGATTATTGCAAACAACTGACCATCATTTAAAACAAAATATATCCTCCTCACCTGTCTGTTCAATGACAGTTACAGTGAAGGCTAAGCAAATAATGTGGTTGAGAAAATAGAATGATACTCAGCAGAGATAAAATGGCATGACTATTTAAATGAAAGTTGTTTTTTTTAAAGATTCATCAGAATTGATTAAAAATAATGTAAATTTGAGAGAACACTGAACAGGGACTGAAAAGATGATTTAATTTTCAGTGATAGCTCTGTTTCTTTTCCACACACATGCCAATTCACCTTTGCATAGCACATCATCATTCATTTTCTCAGACTTTCTGTAGTTAAAAGGATTTTCTGATTTTTAAAGGCTATTTCTGAAAGAAAGTGTGTAAATAAAAACAAACATGGTAAGCTTATAAGGAGAGATTAGATAGAGTAATGAAAACAAAATTGGGGATTTTCCTTGCATCTAAAGAAAGTGATAATCCATATTCTATTTAACAAAATTAAGTAATTTCATTGAATGGTTAAACAACAATTAATATTAGAGAAATTCTTTAGCAGAGTGTTAAGGCACATGAAAGAAAAAAAAGAAAATAGGTGTAATAGTAGAGTAGATAAAGAGAGAAACATTATCCAAAGAGATTTAAGTTCAGATCAGAACCAAACCAAAGTTTATTCTTTATGCTAAAACTAGAAATAAATTTTCCATTAGAGAAATTGTCAGATCAAGCAAAAAAAAATATATTGTCTTTAATATTTTCAAAATTTCTTGAATAAGAAATTATTTGCTTTGATATTATGAGAGTAAAGATTTTGCAACTTCTTTTATTGTGAAAACATTTTCATTTAAAAAAGCAATTTTGACTGAATAAAATTTAACTTTTAAAAATCATAGGGCTAATATATATTGATTAAAATTGAATTAAAAAAATGGAAACCAGGATCGTTTCTATTTAGGAGTTGCAAACAAGGAATCCTAAGCAATCATTTATATTGTTTTTCATAAACAATAAATTGGATTGTAGTGTTATGTCAACTAATAGAAATCTAGTTTTCACACAAACGTTTATCCTTAGCTGAAAGATGATATGAATAAAACTAATTTAATACACATGCAACAAGTGATTCCAATGAGTTGATAGAAGATTATGGAAGCTAATGATTTCTTTTTCTTCTTGTATGAATTTAACAGTTCAAAATCTTTACTATTGTAGCAGAAAATAGAGGATATAGCCTAATGAATCAAGGTAAACTAATTCAACTAACATAAGTGCAAAATGACATGCAATCATTATTTCTGGAAGTAGTTTACTATTTGAGCATATTGTTAATAAAAAATAATCTTAAAACAGATACGTAAAGGACATATTCCCTTTTGTCAGAATATAAAAAAATTACTAAATGAAGTGGACAATTTTTCTCAGACACCAGGAAAAATCAGAATTTGAATATATTCCTTTGTAAAATATAATCCCAATGCAGTCATCATATAAATCTCTCCAGTTGCATCTGCTAAAAATTCTAGAACTAAAAGCAAACTTTTATTTTCTAATTAAAATGTCTAATTACTGTGATGTGTAAACTTCTCCCAAGTTGTTATAAAAATAAAGAAAACAAAAACAGTAGCAGAATCTTGTAGTTTTTATTCCCTATAGAATACTTGCAGCACTGTGGCTCTGAAGTAAAATATGGAAGTTGGTCTATTAGAGCACACCATTTCTCCTGATGGCAGCTGTGGTAGAAGATGAACACACAGGCTGACCAAGCTGTAAATGCGAAAACATGACAAACACATATTAATTAGCATGTGATGCATGAAAAAGACCTAACAACATTTTACTGTTGTGGGAGACTCTTAAGACAGACCTACTTAATAGAAACTAAGACAATATACTTCTTTTAAAAGTTAAGAAATAGCCATAAATACATACATGTAGTATTAGATATGGAAAATATAAAACTAATTTTAAGTAAAAAAAAAATCGCTTTTTAAATTTATATAACTGAGTAATTTAAAAAATATATAAACTTATTTTTACAAATTGTGTTCAGCACAATAAAAAATTCATATATTACACAGTTAAAATACATATATTGAAAGAAAATAAATTTAAAAACTATATTACAATAAGTAATTTCAAAAGCTGAATTTCTTAGACATTAAATATTTTAACAGTTTATTGCTATTAGAGAAACCATTCAGGAAGTACAAAGGCCATAATAAAATATTTAATACTCATTACAGAATCAAATTCAGCTTCAATACTGTAAAAATTATTTAGGGACCTCATCCCCATAATATTCCAATAGTAAAATTTAAAAAAAAAATCTAGATAAAGTTCACTCCAAATAAACTGAAAGAAAATTTCTCAGTCTTTTATTCAGTGTGCAGATGTTTGCATTGGTTAGCTAGGACAGTTTACCATTTAGAGAAATAGTGTGCAGGATATTCTATCTAAAATGTATCTGCTATTAAAACAATCCAGTTTGCTATTTTTCATCAGTCTAATATTATTCATCAACTCTAATGAAAACCTGTTTTTAATGCAGTGAAAGCCATTGACAGTTTCATAAGTGCTAGAGACATGTAACAGCCAAACTTTATTATACAAGTAAATACTGAACCTGAAGTTTTAATCATCTACCCATTTATCTGCTTGCAATGGTTTTACTGATTTTGTTCCAATCTAATCGAGCCCAAATTTTCACTCTTACCCCTGTGGATAGCAAAGCTCCTATTGTATCATAATTCTATAACAAAGCCTCACTTGATTTTCAATATACATAACCTAAACAAATACTACTAATCTGTATATTTATTCCTATTGTAGCATCTCAACAGCAACCATTGTTCTTTAATTGGCAAGAATGGTAAAATGGTTTCTTTGAGTGTTGGCTCCAAACTAGTTATTTAGACTTTGGAAAAGTCCTTCACAATTTATACTTGTTCATGCATTAAGAAAATCTGTAATATACAAAAGACAAATGAATTGTTATGGATTTTTATATTTAGGAATTAGTTTAGGCTTCTTCTGCAAGGTTACTTTCTATCCTAGTACAATTTTTACTTGATAATGAACAATGGAGATTTGCTTAGACTGAACCAACTTAGACATAAAAAAATATGTTTCATGAGCACTTGGTGGGAATGAAATTTATTAGTAATTTTGGCCCTGTATAAATGAGCAGTTTCACTTCTTATTTTGTTTTTAGACAGATGAAACTGTTTAAACTGTCAAATCCCCCAGCTGCTACTATAAATTATAGTAATAATTTCTTAATTTTCTAATCATTTAAAATTATTCTTTTGGTAATATCAAATCTATGATAAATTTATGTCTTACTAAGCTTATATAAGCGAATCCCAATCATTCTTAATTCTCACAGAACTTGTATTTTCCATGGTAATGAAAAGTATAATTAATTAGCAGTTCACTAAAGAAATAAAACTGTCAAGCCAATCAACGACATGTAGAGTTCCTCTTATTTTATTTCATCAAAGGTAATTTAGAATAAGAAAGTAAATTTACAACAAAACAGTTGTGTTAAAATATCAATTGCTCTGCAAGCAGCCCCTTCATACCTCAATATCATGGGATACATCAAGTAGGATTTCTCTCCCATACGAGATGCACAGGGAATAATGGCAAATGATGATTACTAAAAAAAAGCACACAAATCATAACACTGACAAATGAATAAAAAAAATAATGATGAAACAAATTAGACAAAAACACTAAAGAAGAATGATTCATTACATTATGTCAACTTAAATCAACATCTAGTTCACTCTTGTCTTTAAACAAAATGAACCAATCAGGTGTATTGGTAGAAATCAATCAAGTGTGCTTGCATTGAAGGTACAGTAACAAAAGAAATTAAACAGGAACAGTACATAAACCAAAACTGAGATAACCTTCATCAAAAGTTCAGTTGAATGAAAAAAAAAAAAAAAACAAAAGAAAAAGAAAAAAAGAGAGCAGGAATCAACTGAAAGAAAGAGCAAATCAAAATACATTAAAAATTCTGCAATATAATTCTTCACCTCTTCAAAACTAATTTAGTCCCAAAATTTAATAGGAAAATATATGCATTTATCCAAAACTTTTTATTATATATAAATTCTTGTGAATAAGCATTTTCTGTGAGTGCTATTACAGATGAGCCTAGAATCAAGAATTTCTAATACCTGTATATAAACAAAATTAATCAAAATAACCTTTCTAAACATTTTAAGATACATCTTTTTAGCTGATGACATGAAAATGTCACCCAAATTTTAGCCTGCAGCCCATAAACACACAGACAAAACCAGCAACAGAATGTTTACAAAACAGAACCACTCTATTTGCAATATAAGAACCACACATGAGGAACTTAATCTTTTAAATGGTAAAAATATGGCTGCACTTTGGGGAGAGAAATGAAAAGAATGCAAGAAGAGCAGTACCCACCACTCTTGGTCTTGACTCCAGGTTTCCTCCATGGTAAGTGTTCCATCTTTTCAATTGAACTGAACGCCTTGTCTCTTGGAATTGATACAATTCAGATTCTCGTCGTGTAATATCTGCCTGCAGTAGCAAATTGTTCACTTCCTGCAGAAGCAGCTGTCTTTTCATCTCCATTATCTCCTTGTTGCGCTCAAGATGACTTAGTCGCAAATTATTCATCTGATTTTCAAAGCAAACATAAATAATAATTAAACAAATCAAAACAATATGTTGGTTAAAAACAGAGATTAAAGAAATATCAAATAGGATTAGTACGAATTTAATATCAAAGACTTTCTTAGTATTTATAAAAGGATTTAGCCATGGCACTAAATCTAATGCCAGAATACTAAATTCCAATAAAACTAGTCTTTACCAAATGAATGACCATTTGCATATACTCTGAGGAAGTGCTGAAAAGTTCTCAGCCTGACCCACTTCACAAAATGAAACCAAATAATTAAACATCAAAATTTATTTTGGAACTCTTTTTTGGTCAGGTTGAGAACTCTTCAGCACCCCACTCATAACCACTTAAAAAAAACAGCATCTTTTTTATCCACTTTGTCATAGTACTTTTTTTAGCTTGTGGCTCAGAATTTGTTTATGTAACCCTATCTCTAGCTGTGTATGAGCTAAAAGCAGTTGCTGAAAGTATTGAAATTTATTAAATAGTTTTGACACTTGATGATCATTGATGAATACAATAGTTTATTGGAGTGTTTTTTTATTTCAAAGAAAGGCTATTTGACATTTTTATGTGAGATTGTAAAATATATTTGCTTCTCTAGATCTTTGTTTTGTACCTTATTAAATGCTTTTGTATAATCTATGAAACATAAGTGTACAAGGTCTGATCAAAAAGTATTGAGACTCTTGCTATAGTAACAGTGCTAAAGTATGCAGAGTGAAGCTGCTTTGCACAGATTGACCATGAACTCTGTCATGCATGCACACTGAGTTCTCACTTACATCTGTTTATAGCAGTGCTTGTAAAGAAAGCATGTAGAATGTGGTCGTCTCATCACATCACAGAGGTTCCATCAGTGACTATAGCTTGTGCAGCAGTTTTGGCAAAGTACAACATTCCCAAAGTCCAACAATCACCATATTCTCCAGATCTTGCCCCTTGAGACTTTTTCCAAAAACAAAATCCAAATTGAAAGAAACAAAATTTCAAGACATGAAGGAAATCCAATACAATGTGATGAGGCAGTTGCTTGCTATTCCAAAAAAGGAGTCCCAGGAATACTTCCATCAATAGAAACTGTGTTGGATAAAATATGTGGAACTACTTCAAAAGAGATTCAATGCTGAATTGATGTGTTGTAATTTTCTTTTTATAGCATCAGTTCCAATACTTTTTGATCAGAACTTGTACATCCTTGTGCATTTGTATTGCTCTCTTCAATATCAGGCTGATCATCAAGTCACAAGTCAAGATCTAGAGTTTTGATTATACTGCTGTGGGTTTTCCAGTGACTTGGGCAGGCAGCAGTTGGCTAGCTCTCATTCCTTCTTTCCAAGCATCCCTGTCAAGCGGGCTAATGTGAGCAAGGTCGTACTCCCACACATCCCTCCCAATGCAGTCCTTTCATGTCTTCTTAGGTCTAGCTCAACCTCTGTAACCAGGAACCCTGAATTCTGAGACAGTCTTAATGCATGATGAAGCACATTAGATGTGACCAAACCATCTAAGAAAACAGGTGCGCAGCACTGATGTTATATCCCCAATACCGAGCCTTGTTAATAACTCAGATGAGGGGGTTTCATATTGAGGCTTGGTGCCACAGATCCAGCAAATCATCAAGCGGTCATTGCGGAGGAGCCATCACAAGACCAACACACTTGCTGCCTAGTTCTCACTGCTGTGGAGCAGTGCAGATCATACACACGCAGAACACAATTTGCCACGAGTTTTCAGTGATACATATTGGATGTGAGAATGGGTAGGAGCTTTTCGAATTTCTCCCAAGCCACAGAGCACATCCCCAAGATAAAAGAAATAGGGCTATATATCCATTTTTGAACCATCCAAAGTGACTTGGGTAGTGAGTTTGCCACCAATAGGGCATACTTCACCACAGCATCTAGGGCAGATGTAATCTGGTAGTTCTGTTAGCCTACTGGTGATGCCACTGCATTTCTTGTGCACCCAGGTGTTGCATTTGGAGCACAAGATCATAAATATAGCATTTCTTCTTTCAGCAATCTTAATAAAACCACACTGTTTTTGTCCTATTTCCAGTCTAATTCTGCTTCATGCTCTATTCATCAGAAATTGGATTATTAGCTTTATTTATTATTAATTAAATTTATTGTCTGATGGAGCTCACATTTATTTACACCTGGCTTCTTAAGTAGCACTACATAGATAGATCCACTAAGCACAATTTCAAACTTGACATTTCTAAATAAAAAAGCAAGTAGAGATAACTCTCTAAAAAGTTAGGGATCAATTTTACACTGTACTGATATTATGAACAGGACTTTCACCTTCTAAAAAGATTTTTAAAAAATCCTTTACATTTTTTCTGACAAGTATTGTGCCTTGATTAATGTCTAATGACTGTTAATCTACAAAAATGATTCCCCCAAAAATGTTTCTCTATTTTTTAAGACTGGAACAATCTACTTAAGTAGCACATCTTTTGTTCTGTTTTTTATTCTTTTGTGCATACTAGCTTTATCTATGATGCTCATTCTTTCTATTTCTGCACACTTTTCATTGAATCATTTCACTTTAGCCTGCCTGCATTTGTTTCTAATTTCTGTATTTAACATTCTGTAATCTGCACCATTCCTTGGCATTGTTTGTTGCCTCATTTTCATCACCTTGAGAATTTCATGTTATACATGACTGTGTTTTCATATTTTTAATTCTAATTCAATAATCTTGCAATACTTTATTTCTTCTTTAAAAATTATTAGATACTTAGTTATGCTGTTCTTTGTGAGTCAATGAATGTCAGGATAAACTTTTCTAATTATAAAAAATAAATAAAATTAATGAATTACTGATCACTTAAATACAAATAATATTTGGTAGATAGTAAATGAGATTGATTGAAAAGACAATTTGAGGCAAATATACATTCTGTATAGACATTAAAATAATCTTACAATTTTTAAGTCATTAAATATCTTCTATTTTAAATAATCATAGGTAAATATTTTAGTAATAATTATGACACAATAATTAGTATTGTAAAGCATTAACAGTGATAAATAATTAACTTCAAAACAGATGAAAGTCACTTACAAAAATTTATTCTCATTAAAAAAACTCATATAAAATTAACATAAATTCTAAAACTTTTAAAAATTGATATTTTGTAGACATTACATGGTTAGAAATACACTTGTGATATCCAAAAAGCTTTTTTAAATTCCCATTCTTTATTTGTAATGTTTTAACTTGATAATAATATCCAAAGTATGTAAATAATAGTTCCATGCTTTATCACTTTTTTACAAAGAATAAAATATATAATTAAATCCATTTTTCTAAAGCCATCTTTTGTCTTACCTGAATTTGCAGCTGCATTGCATGACAGTAAAACTTTTCAAAGTTGTTCAAGGCTGAAGATTTTTTAGATACTTCTTCTATAATGTAAAAAATTCAAAACATTGTAGAAACAAATAAAAATACAGTATAGGGTGAATAATAGTGGATTTAATTTATTTTTATACAGATATTTTATAATTTACTCAATACAGTGTAGCTAATTTATATCCCATTGCAAAGTAGGATTAAAAAACTAAGTCTGGTGATAAAATGTATAATTGTACTAATTGTCCATTCAATACTCCTATAAATAGTTACCAAAATCTTCAAAACCAGTTAAATTGTCTTCTCTATTCCTAAGCAAACTTACTATATGTTATATTCCATGCTAATAGGAATATATACTTGAAAAACAAGGTGGATAAAATAAGTAAAGGTTTATTGTAAATAACCAGTACATTAAGAATAAAGGTAACAGTTATGCACAAGATCATCACAAGTCAATCCAGTAGTGAGTGCTACCATTGGAAGGTCAGTAGTTCTTGTGTAAGTCTGAGTTGTACTCAACAGATCCCAGCTAGTATATTTAGCTAACCGCCACAAGGGATGCATTTGGCACAAGGCTGGTTTAACGTGGGTTCTCCAAGCCCATATGCTCGGCCCAAAATATTCCCTTTCAAACCCGTATAAGCGGTTTCAGGGGCAGTCTACCTCCCCAAACAAGACTCTGCCTTCGGCAGAGCCTCGTCCGGGTTCCTCTCTGCCCAAAAGAAGAGAGTTCGACTGTTTAGCTGGAACAGATCCCAGCTAGTCTCTGTAGTCCATTGACTCACAGCTACTTATAGGTAGTTACTACCTATAGTGTAGTCACTCATGAGGGTGACAGGTTATTCCATTACATCACTATATATATATATATATATATATATATATATATATATATATATATATATATGTGTGTGTGTGTGTGTGTGTGTGTGTATGTATGTATGTATGTATGTATGTGCAGAATTGTGTTTACATTTCTTTTATGCAAATTTAAAATCAGTAAATTCTAGTAACAACTTTAAATATTGACTCTAATATTGTGATTGGCTTGTGACAAATTTCTTGCTAAGCAAATAACTTGATTTCCTTACCTGTCTGTGAAGCTTCAGCTAACATAAGTTTCATCTGTTCCATCAATTCCATCAATCGGCTACTGATGTTTTCTTCTCCTTCCATACTTTGTAATTTACACATCTTCAAAATAGAAGCAGCAATTTAATATATAACAACAGCTAATTGAATGCAAATAACTCCATGATGGTATACAAGAAATTCTAAGGTATTTTCTAATTAGAAAAAAAGATGTATAATCATCATTCATATGATTAAGGATTAGAATATAATTTAATAGATTCTAAACTCAGAGGATAACTTTCAAACATGATTTTTTTCTCTTTTTCTTAAGTATGTACTTCAATAAATATGTATCTGTATAATGGAAACAATATTTACTTTACATAATAATCTCAATATGACAATCTTTAATCTCTGTGCTTGTAAAAATGATGTGTCAAAAGAAAGCTTTTCCCTTGACACCGCTATTATTTTAACTACCATCACTCCTTGGCAATTTTTATTGTTTTAAAAAGAGATGATTAGAATTGTAATAAAACCTAAACATATGATGAAAGGGAATTTATACATTTTTTTTATTTTTGAGAATTTACAACAAAAATATTATACACTATTAGAATGTTTTTTACAAGAATAATTTTATATTTACAACATTCTAAAAACTAATACAATTCTATTAAAACTAATACAATGAAATATTTATCATTTACCAATTTATAAAGAAATAAATATGAAAAGTTTTTATTCATAAATTTATAAACATTTACTAAATTATTAAAATATTTTCCTTGTCAATGTACTTAATCTAATATTTCTCCATTAATCACAAATTAATAGTGAAAATTTCAGATCAAAGTTCAGCTTTTGATCAGTGTCAGGCTGCAGACATATTGATCCACTTTTGTATGGCTGTTTAAAGTAATTCAGCACAATCAGCCAACTCTCAAGTTATTTCTTGGTTTAGCTTTATATATAATCTTACAATGACAACATTCATTACTACATCTGAGTTTTACTTATTTAATTGTTAAATAATTGCAAGATTTAAAGCTGTATTTTGTTGAGACAAACCAGCTGCTTTTGTGTCAACCTAAAACTATTTCATATATGTAAACAATTATTTTTCTTTTGCTAGCATCAAGTAGCTATTATTTTGATCTTAATTCTTTGAAATAAAACTGCATAAAAATGCATTCAGCTAAAGAGTTGTTTGTCACTGACAATACATATCCAACATATAAGTGGGGAGAGGAAAAGTACATTTTTGCCATTAAAGAAATTTTCATTATACCTCATGATAAAAGTTAAACATATTTCAAATCATTTTCAGTTTTGCCATAATCTTTATAAAAATATTTAAGCACTTCAATAAATTCTTAAGCATTTTGAAGGCTCAAGATAAAATTAGTTTACTAAGTTGTATTTTTCGGATTACTGTTATCTGTGTATCCATTGATAAATTGAGGTTTTGTGTGTATGAGGATAGATCACAAAGTTAGTAGCCTGACAAATAGTTATTAGTTTAATTTTGATGTGAAAATCTATGTGATTAACATCCACCACTGAATTAAGTACATTGACAAGGAAAGAAATTATGTTGAAAAATAAATGCTTTTTCCATCATCATACTGTGGACTCTACACACAAACACACACACAAAACAGGAACAGAAAATGTTTCAATCATCAAAAATTTCTGAAAAATAATTAATAATTATTTTTTCATAAACATTTGGACAAAAAAAGCAACTAGTAAGTCATCATTATTAAAAGTCATATTTTGAATTTAAATATGACAATCTATGTTTAAGTAAAAGCATTATATAAAGGATATTCTGAGAGTAATATCTTCTATTTATTTCCATACAAACTATAACATATACAGGGCGCATGATTACACTGTAAATAGAGCAAGTTTTCAGCTACAAAACACTTCTTTTCCAGATAGTCCCCACTAAAACCTATGTATTTTGAAAGTGCTTTTCATTCTATGGATTGATAGCTGAGCAGGGCAGCTTGGTATGTGGCTTGTCATACACATTGCCATCATCACTGCTGAAGCACATTATGCACTCCTATGCTCACATCAGTTGTTTGGTCTCCATAAACATTTAGCTATCATCAATGAATGTCAGCAAGTGTATTTTTTCTGCATGGAGGAATTCAATAACACAACTGCTTTATACACGCTTTCATGTCAGATGCCATTTTACCAGACTGCTATTTGTAACAAAGACTCTGATGTCATGAGTCAACATTAGATAAGAGGTATTACTTTCAGAGTAATCCATGTAAACTTGAAAATACTATGCCACAGAAATGAAATATACTAAAAGAAAATTACATCACTACACCTCTAATAAATTATTAAAGATTTTATTGCCTTGCAAATAGTAAATGGCTAAGATTATGTGCAAATGCTTTTATAATTGTCAAGAAACTATTAGAGATGCATATTAACTTTTTAGATTGTAAGAGATTTGTAAATTAAAAAACAACCATATTTGAATGATAAATTATTTTTCTTTAGGACATAAGCTACCTCTGTTCTTCACACTCCTTTTCCTTTTAATATCCATAAACTGTTTATTGCACTGATTGTCCTTGGGAAAGATAGTTCAGTGGTTTCCTCTTGCCTTCTCCATAGTTTTGATTTTAGTGTTACTAATCAAGACTAGAGTACCCAGTTTGCTATGTTATTTAACCCAAAGCTGTGAGTAGAAGATATGGATTCATGTCTCTTCCAAGGGCATTAGCGCAAAATGAATGCAAAATGTTTCAACTGGAATTTAAACAGGTTTACTGATTTCATTTTCTAAGGCATTAACCATAAGTCCATTCATACCTCCAAAATGATTTAGGTGAACAGACTGCAGAAAGTTCTCATCCTGATTGACTTTCCAAAATCTGTCCAAACATAAGATTTATTTTTATTTTTAAAAGTGTTTCTTGTTTAGTCTGAGAACTTTTCAGCACTGACTTGTAGAAAATGTAAATCCAGACTTTTCCAAACTAAAGCATCTCCTGACATTTTATAATCAAATTCAAAAGTGAAAGTAACAAAGAAAGAAGACTCACTGCAGCACTTTCCATAGAGAGTTGGAGTTTCTCACCAGAGTGCTCCAGTTCTTGGATTTTTCCTTCTAACTCATGCATTGCACTGATAAGAGCACCAGATTGCTCTTCTTTAAGTTTTCCAGCAGGCTTTCTATCCACTGGAATCTGTTTTTTGTAACGGACTGAAAATAACAAGAGAAATAACAACAATAAAGCTGGAATAAAACAGCTATTGTTATCAGAAGAAAGCTTTGAGATTATTGGTTTAGTTTGGTTTGTTTAATGGCATATCAACTCCTTATCGGTCATTTCATACCAAAATTTTATTTTCTTGTGAGGTTAGGTAACTTTTTTTAATGTATTTTTATATTTTCATGTTTTAACCCCAGTTTGGGGGTTCACTATTTGCCCATATTAGGGTATCTAACAGGTGCTATTATTCAGGGCAGATCTGGGAGCAACAGCAATTAAGAGGTGGCTCTATGCTCCTCAAAACCTCTTGATGAAAGGCCTTGATGCCAGATGTAGTTTATTGTCATAACCAAGAAGGTTGAGCTTATTGAAATCAAGACATCATTTGTGCCATTGCATATGCATTAAATAATTTGATAATTGCATTTATAATTCATAATTCTAGGATCACTATGACAGATAACCATGCATCTGTATTTGGCCTTAAAGAACAATAATCAGATGTTTGAAAAATAATTTATTCCTAAGTGCAACCAATAGATTATATTCCGTGCTAATAGGAGTGTGGAATGGACAAACACGGTGGATAAATAGTAACAGGTTTATTGTAGAAACCAGTACAACAAGCAAGGAAGTAATAGTTATGTGCACGGTCATCACAAGTCAGTACAGCCTATTGAAAGGCCGCTAGTCTCGCAGATCCCAGCTTGACTCTCTTGTTCACTTTCCTCACGGATACTTATAGGTAGTTATTACCTATAGTGCTGCCACTCATGGGGGTGGCAGGTTATTCCATCACATCATTTACAATCTGTATTACATGAATGCTTCTATTATTTACAATTAGTAATTTTAAAATTTATTTATTATTTATTTCACAATTACAAGTAAAAAAAAAAATATTGAACTTTTCTAAGTAATCTTATACTGATTTTGAGGGGATAAAAACACAGAATCAAGTTGTACATAATTATTTCTTTTTAAATAATGAAAAACAAAGTAAGTTTTATAAAACAAACAAAAACAAATATAATACAAAGCTGTCACATTTAATTAGAATATGTGGAACTAAAGCATTTGGAAAAACTATAAATGTAGATAGAACTTAAAGTTGAGTGGAAGTCCATTTATCAATAATCTTCATTTTGCTTCAGATCATAGAACAGATATAAATGAATAAAAATACATCTTATGTACTTGTACATGTTTTATAAACTTTAGAAACAATGAAACCAAATCTGAAATTACTGTTAAAAATTAAATCAATTTACAATGACCTTGCAACCTCTCCACCCATGAAATATTTAAATAATTTCAAGAGACTAAAATTCAAGCAATTAAAAATAATTTTGTATCTGGTTAAGAATGATAAGTTATAATGAAGTATGTATTTATTTCCTATTGTTAATTGTCCTGTCATTGAACATTAAAACCAAACTGAGGTATAATTAATCTTGATTACAAAACACAAAAAACACCTACTTACCTATTTCCTTGGAATGTGCATCCTTGAATTTCTCCAGTTTGACATGAAGTTCTTTTACAGATTGCTGAATTTTTACATATTCTTGCTTCTTCTCTTCTAGTTCTTGCAATAATCTAAGATGAGCATTTTCTAGGCTGATAAAACAAAATTAAGTTCAAAATGATTCTAAACATTTTACCATCATGATTACCTATTTTACATTTTCAATGACAGTGAGTTTATAAATATATCTACTTCAAAATATATCTAACATTTGCTGATATTTAAGATAATTATGTTGCAGATTCAAAATGAGAAGCAATTTCACAAACATCATTGTCATACAGAGGTCAAGATCAACATTTGATAGATAATTATTTGCAGAAAGCCATTTAAAGAAGAGACAAAGAAAAACAATTGCTAACAGTTTAGTCATGAGATAAAACAAAGTTATATCCCTTTTGAAATTAAATGATGCTATGACTTATATCACTTGAAAATTTTGTATTTAGATTTATATAAATATGGTAATGGTAATATTAGCCGTTTCCTTATAAGGAAACATTCGGTACTCATTGACCAAGTATCTAGTACTCCTGTTGATTGAAATTTATAAAATCTTTGTCTTAGAATTAAAGCTAGAAAGAGTTATTTATTAATCAATCCAAATAAAAAAACAAACCATTTTTGATTATTGAAAAAAAAAATATTTCTATATTAACAGATACAAGCAGGCCTCTGTGTTTCTATATGAGAAATGTTATTTCCTTTTATCTTTATTAGGAATTTAATGATTTTAAAATAAAATCATGTACTATAATTGATTAATATTTATATTGAATAAAACCAATTAACTTTGCTGACATACACAAAAAATATTAAATAATAAAAAATTATTATAATATAAAAGTAAGATGTGTTCTGATGAGCTACATTCCTTAGTCTCACCACCCTTGACTTTTACAACTGGGCCACACTCCATTCCCTTCGTACGCCATTAGTAAGAAGTAAGAAGTTCCATTCTGACAGCTTCTTCTTAAGAACTGCTGCTTTGTGGAACAAACTTTTGGCAGAATGGTTTCCCAATCACTATAATTCCTGCATAATCCTATGAACTTCAATTCTTGCTTATACATCACCACACAATAACGCTCTACCTTGAGTGGCTGAAGGGCCTTGTATTGAGTGAACATTAGTATAAAAAAAATATTTTTTGTATTGCTGAAAATTATCATAAAAAATGACTATATCAAATCAAAATTTTAAATCTCTTTAAATGTAAAATCTCTACAGTTTTTGGTTTCCCTCATGTAATTTATGAGTTCCTTAAAGCAATTTTCAACAAAAATAATACTCAATGTGACACTGTTAGGCAGACTAACTCCTAACAATTACTATCAAGCTCCTACTCGACTTTGAGCTAATGGAATATCTCAACTGCCAAAAAAACAGGTCATCTGATGCACACGGGAAGTAGTTCATAGAGAGAGCAGCAGAATCAAAGAACTTAGTTAGGAAGGAAACCCCCATCAATACTGGAAAGGTTGATAATAGCTACTGGACTTGAGAAACCTATTTTCCTGAAAAATTGTTTTAAGAAAACGATTTTATAAATTTCAACCAAAACAGTACAGGCTGTTCAGTCAATGAATGCCAAATGTTTCCTTGTAGGGAAACGGTTAATATTATCATTACCAAAAAAAGATCATGTCAGAAACACCAAACCTAGCTTGAAAATCTAGTCAGACAAACTTTCTGCAAACTTACAGCAGGCATACATAATTCCTTAGGATACATCTTGTGCAATTAATTTGAATTTGAACAACCATTTCAGATATTTTTTGTATTAGGGTGATCTCTTGATGCCCAGGGAAGATGAATATGTTACAGAATCAATGTCTCTGAGCACATATGTGATTTCTGAGGCCAAAGTCAGGTTTACAGATACAGTTGGAGCAAACATCTTCCTGCGTCTTTCTTGGTTTGGCTTGAGGAATTGGATGCATTATATTTTTGTATACTGATGTGGTAAAAGATAAATAAACTTCCCCCCCACACACTACTTATTCATGCTTCATCATCATAGAGTCCCAAATAATAAATACATCTTGAGTTTAATGAACTGGTGCTTACCTGGATATATTTGATTTGGTCATACTTGACTCAGTGGTTGCACTCTCATCCATACTTGTATCAGAGGAGGAGTGAGGGAAGCATCGGTCAACAGGTGATGCTTCATCAGGAGAATCCCAGCTTGGGGTCAGATTCAAGGGACTGGGTTTTTGTTTGTGCTCTTTTTCTTGACCTGGAGTGTCTGCTGGTGTGGCAGTGGCAGCAGCAGCAGCAGCCATGGTAGGGATGGCTGGTGTTGTGGAGGATGTGCTTGCCCTTGGGGGTGGATCCCCTTGGAGGCCCCGTTTTTTCACCTCCCGGTACAATGCAGCAGACAACTCATGTGACAGGCCCTTCATGCGTTCCCATTCATAAAGCTTATGGGCAAACTCATCTGTGATCTTGTAATCGGCCAGGGGACCTAACAGCAAATTGGTGCTCAGCTTGGGGTCAAGTTCCATTGGACTCGTACTTTCTGGTTTGTCAGGGTGGTATTGACGTGACTTTTCTGCAGTTGTGTGACTCTTGATCTTTACTTTCTCTCCATCTTTTGTTTTGCTTTTTTCAAACTTAAATAACTTTTCCTTGTCTTTTTCAGATTTGGACTTCTTAACTTTGTATTTTTCCTCTTTTCTAGATTTTGGACTGAAACTTGATGACAACATTGGACTTCCTTCCTTTCGATATTTGATCTTTTCCCACTCTTGAAGCTTTCGAGAAAAGCTCTGTGAAAGATTACGTTGGATCTCATCAACATTTACATTGGGTGGAGATGTAATATCAGCTGAGGAAGAAACCCCATCAGAGGTGCCTTCACTTGAAATACCAAACTCCCATCTTAGTTTCTGAAGAGGGCTTGGCCCTGAAAATAAAAAAAATCATTTACCTGAATTAAAACTAGCAGCAACCACTTTGGCAATGATATAAATGACAAATAATAAAATAGTAGAAAGAAAGACATTAGAAATAATCATAATTTGCTAACAAATTTAGAGTCAGTATGTTCTTACTGTTGTCATTAGCTTAATTCAATAATAAAAACAACTGTATGCCTAAGTAATATAAAAAATAACTACAGGAAGTGAAATGTTCATTGTTACTCATACTTACTTTATAGCATAGCCAATTATTTCCTCAGTTCAAAGATGTATAAATATTAATTTAGAAAACTGAACCCTGTCAGACCTAATTACAAAAGCATGTTAAATAGATTCTAAGATCTGAAATAGAGTAATTTTTGTTGGTAAGTTTTTCTGTGAATAGTGTTTTAAAATGTCTACTTGTAAAATATAGTTCTGCTTTGGTTCTTCAACATAAATAGGTAAATCATTAAAGGGAGATAACAAAGTCCAAGTTGTAAGCAAATCAATCCATTCTTTTTACAAATTGTGTATGTCAATATTTTTAATGAAAGTTGTACTTAAAACATAAAAGACCTGATTTAGTGTTCATTAGGTAAGATAGGAAAATTAACATTTCTCCAAATTGATGAAGTAGGAGAGACATAACCTCTTAAATCTTTTAGACAATTTTTTGAATACTAATAAGCCTTGTAGAGAGTAAATATGATTAACAAACATTATAAGAAAATACAAATTTAATTCATTAAGCTTATTTTTTTTTTTTGTTTACAGTAAGGTTCACTTTTTACAAGACCCAGAGGTAGAGGGTTATGTTATGTGGATAGGGGTGGAAGATAACTGTTAACCCTAGCCTTGAACAGGCTAAGATTGTAGTGATCAAGGAAATATCCTTTTGGGAGTTGGTTCCACAGAGCAGTGTTTTGCAAAAAGAAGCTGTTCAAATGGAACTTAGTTCTCACCCGATGAAATACAGAGGGAATGTAGGTGGTTTGCTAATATGTAAGTGGCATGATGTGTCCTTTCTGTGAAAGTCTGAATTCATGGGACCAGGGAATGTAGTTCATCCGAGCACTTTCCATGGAAATAGCAATAGAGCAGTGAGAGGCTTGCCATATCCCGCCTGTAGAAGAGAGGTTGTAAGGTGGAGAATAATTTAGTAAAAATACTAATTATTTCACTTTTAGCACTCTATAGGTGACTATTTTCACCAAGCAAAATTTTAGTCCTGCCAATGCAAGTTTAATTTGAATTTCTTGGTTGTGGAGTCATATTCTTCTATAGCCACACTTAAAGCAATCTTGACAGAAATTGAGAACCAGGCTACAGCAATTTCAAATACATAGAACTAATATATAAAACACTATATTTTGAGGGGATTCCATATACAGCAAAAGGGGGAGTAATATTTATAAATGATACAGAATGTTAAATGTTAAAACAGATTTTTTATCTATATACAAATAATGGATTAATCTTAACTGCATCTTGATAATAGTAATCAATAACTCCTAATTAAAAGAATAAATGTTTTCCTGGTTATTTAAATCCTTTTTATTGTTTATTGTTTATCTTAGATATTATATGATGAAATAATATGTGTGTTACCATAAGAAATGCTAATACAGAAGAGTAGCAGAAGTAATCAGTGAATCTTGATTTAAGTAAACAATTTTTTAAATTCATTTGATCTGTAGCTTAAGATAAGAAAACTTACTTTATAAACAGGTTTCTAAAAATGTATTATTCTAATTATATAATCTCATTTTTGTTGTCTTGCTTCTTTTCTTTTTTTCAGAATATTATAATAACACGACAAAATCAGCACTTATGTGTGAAATATTGAAACTTCCTTTTGATATGTAGTTATTATACAAAACTTTTACAATTTCAGGACCAAAGACTAAAACTATAAACAAAGAGTGAAACATTACCTTTCAAAAATAAAAACTCTTATTCTTTATAAAATTAAGTAACAAGATTAATAACAGTTTTAATTCAAAATGATTGTAGCAAGACAAACCATTTGATGTTATTGCCACAAATTATAAAACTGTTTCTATTAAGATTTTACATTATTCCTCCTAAATTCTTTCTACTATTTAACCTTTCTCTTTTTTAAATATTGAGTTTATCAAATGATAATGAACTAAGAAGTGAACATATAAAAAGTTTATTTCACTACTGAAAATCATAACATTTTTTATATTCAATATTGAAAATCATAACATTTTTTATGAGTTAAGTGTAGATCTATATACTTTATCACAAATAGCATCTTCATTTATTAATAATGGCTTACCAACTATAGCATTTCCTATCTCTTTTCCTTCTGTATTAAAATCATGCCTTTCAAATCAACTAGCAATAACATTTTGTCACAATTTGATTCCTCTAATACAAATTTAAACAAAATCTTTTGGATGTATAGCATCTATTGTAAAATATCTCGGAAAGAGGGAATTAGGATTTTATTTTTTCAAGTCCCATGATGAAATACTAGGAATTGCTGATGATTTGACACTTGTTTTATTTAAATAGTTTGTTAAGAGAAAATCCAAGTTCTCTTTTCTAAATCTGATTAGAAAGGTGAGTGGCTGGCTTTTGGCAAAACTACTAAACATGTTTCTGAGCATCTTACCTTTGGCCTTAACTGTCTGCCACTCATCTGACTTTCCTGTTGTGTCACTTGATGCCTGTTGGGACACATCAGCCACTTCTACAGGACCTGCTTAACAATAACGTAACTTTCTTACACTTCCGGAAAGTGACAATGAGTAAACAGTTTAATGAAATAAGATGCACACAAAGTATTCATGGAATAAATGAATACATAATTAATGTAATGATAGTGAAAACTTATTGGCTTTAAATATTCTACTCTTTATCTTATTAGGATTATTATATTGCTATTATCTGTATACTTCCTTCAAAGTCAGCCATTTTCCAATAAAAGCTTCAAGAAAAAAAATACTATCTTGAACTAAAAAAGAAAATGAGCACTTGGGAATAACAAGAGTTAAAGTCATCTTTTTGTTTTTCATGACTTAAAAGGCAAATGTTAAAATGGATAAATTATTTTTTCATCAGTCTTATATGATCAATTATTTCCATTCCTACAATATTAAGGACTAAATTTTCAGCTTGATCCTCTACCAAAAAACTGACCAAATGATCAAACATCAGATTTTTTTTATCCCTTCTTGGTTGGGCTGAGAATTTTCAGCACTCCATCATAACTACAGAACTGAACTATTATTTTTTCATATTTGTTAATGAAGAAAACAGAGTCAATATAAAATTTGTATTTTTAATAATGAGTTTAAGTCTATCAAATGAGAATGAGTTTAGGACGGATATCAGTAAAGTAATGTTTGAAAAACAAAGCAAAGGACAGTTTTTCTAATAGCTGCTTGATTCTTTGTGTGTTGTGAGAATTTTTTAAAAATCTAAGGGAAACAAAATTTTGCTTGGCACAGATTTAATAAAATAAGCTGATTCAGAATTTCAAGAAAATATCTAACAGGATTATATGATATTTTTTGTTTCTATGCAAGAGAATTAATTTTAATCTTCTAACTACAAAAATGATATGAATAAAAATGCTTCCTTTTGTTGGTCCTGTGTAAGATAAAGATGGAATTTGCATTATGATAGATGTGATTGTAAAAAATGAAAAGTAAGTCAGGAGGATGTGCAAGTGGCATTTAAAGATAAGACCATTAATATATGTGACATGAAAAATGTACAAGAATAGTTTTGTATTCACAGAGCAATAAAAATTAAAACTATTGCATAGTGATTTACAAGGAGAATGCTTTTCAGTAAATAAGACAATGACCATAAGCAAGCTCCTCTTGTAGCTAGTTATTAATATTAAGGATTTATAATGAACAATCTGTAGGTTATTGGCACAAGAAAGAACCAACATAACAAATCTTGTGAGAATGAAATACATTATAAATGTTGAAATATGCATGTATAAAAGTTAAGAAAATAATGTTAGCAACTTCACTGAAACAAATTTACCATATAAATATATGCAACAGAGAAAATTAAATCAAAATTTTATCAAACTAACATGTAAGATAATAAAGTTTGTAAGTATGTTTAAATAAAAGTTTTGTAAGTAAATAAAGTTTTGTAAGTATGTTAAATGAAAGGTTCTTATTATACTTCATTATAATATTAAATAAATTACAATAACTCTTCTTTTACGAGGACAGAAAAAATAAATCATACATTTTACTTCTCATTATAAATTAACACATCAATCAAGATATGTATAAATTAAGGCAGGTATTTAAATAATATGAGAATAGGGCAATCAATAATTATGACATGCAAACCAAACTTTTTAAACTTTATTAAAGAATTGGCTTAAGCGTCGAAAAATGTAAAAGTAAAATATAGCAAGAAATTGAGTTATATAGTTACAATTAGCCAATTTTATTCTTAGGCAATAAGAGGTTGGCCAGTGAATGCACCAAATGGCTTAAGCAACCTTCTTGAGGTTCCTAATTCATGTACACATCACAGGACAACACCTCACATTCCAACATTTGGCTGCCCCCCACCCAAACTAAAAAAAAAAAAAAAAATATAGCAGTACAAGTATTTCCATATGCTGAAGCCAGACTGACAAGATGCAGACAGAAAGAGAAATAATTTGGTAGAAACTTTCCGAATATCTAATGAGGGTTTTGTGAACATAGTAAAATATAAACTTTCTTTTTTGATTTTGGAGATAAAGCTGTTGTTTGAAAATGATTTTGCAAATGATTTCTGGATAGATTATATCTTGAAAAGAAAGATGTTTCATCAATAAACACTTTCTTAGCAAAAGAAAAATTATCTGCAAACATTTATAGCGTACACCACCTGAATAACTATTTTTGATGAATGTCTGCATGTTTGTTCCTGTCTATCTCAAGGTTTGTATAAGATATTTATATTGGTAATGAAGGTTTTGGCAGTCTATGTTTGTATTTCAGTTATCATAGAAAATAAATATAAGGGTATTTTTGCAACAAACTAGGGTTAGCATTATTTCTACAAAGCTGCACCAAACTCTTGTACAGTTTTGCATGCTTATAAAAACTTTCAATTGTAATATATAGAAGCTGCAAAAACTAAATGGTTCTTTAACAAAAAATATCTGAATACTACTTTTCTGCCACCCTTAACTTTTTTTTTAGAATTTGCAAGGTAGGTTAGACTTAATGAAAATAAAAAAAGTGTGCAACTTACTTTTACTTGCAGCTGTAGTCTGCTTACTTCTCAGTTCTTCCCATTGCTTCATCTTCTTTGTAAAATCATCTGACATACCACCTTAATAAAGAGAAGAGAGAAACTAAGAAAGCAATACATGGAATCACTACAAGTTACAGTGTAGCACTAGAAGCAGCAGCAGCAATGATCACATGACATGAATTAAGTAGTAAAATAAAACAAAATCAGAAATAAACCTAGCCACAGATATGTTAGATGTGACTCAAGGCATGAATTTATAGATGTCTATCTCAAGGGAAGTCCAAAAATAAGATTCTCTTGATGTGAGAAATTTTTTTCAAGTCAGACATTTGAATTTACATTAATATCACAGGTTGGTAAAATCTCTGATAAGAAGGCTTAGTGCCATGTAGATTTTGGCATGGAAGCAGCAAAACTGATACAGAAGCAAACAAAGATGTCAACACCCTCATGAAATATGCTCATGGGTGGAGAATTGTTCATTATCTGAATAGGAATCAAAATCAAAGCTTACAAAGATCTCTTCTTGACTAGTCAGGCTCTTACCAACTTATTTTTTTTTAAACTTGCAGAGACATTAATAAAGTAATTAATATAAAATTACTTGATATTAAATTAATGCCAAACTGATGTTCTGAATATGTATCGGTATATTATTAAAAAGAATACTAGTTATTTATGAATGGAAACATTATTTTAATTAATGCAAATTTGATACATTTTGTTAAGTAGAAATTATTTCAAAAGCCAAACAATTTCAGAACTCAAAATTATTTGCTAGATATTCATTTATGCTTTTTCTTTTTTTTTAAATGAAATTACAATTATTTGATTTTAAAATTAATAATTCAAATCAATAGTGGGCAGACAATTCATTTAAAAATTAACAGTAAAATATTTTTTAAACAATATCATTCAAGCTTCCATTACCAAAATTGTTGATGCAATATCCATGAATGACAATCTGTAGGGAGAGTGATACAAGTTCAGAAGTTACTTGTTTATTTCAAATTTTGTACTGTTTGCTTTAGTAGTCAAAGAGGTGAAGAAGTTGAATGTTGTGATAAAAAGCAACAATAAAATAAGAGGAGTAAAAAATGATGTTTCCTCCAAATTTCAGAAAAGTTCCTTAAATAGCTTAAAACTTAGAAATTAACATAAATGTGAAAGTAATCAATACTGAAAATACAAGTGTAAGGGTTTTAAAGGAACCTTTTATTAAAAGAACTCAATTGAAAATATCTTGCAAAGACAAAGGAAATACAGAGTAGATGTGAATGCAGAAAAGGTAACTCTTTTGAATCAGAGGAAACTTTGTTCAAAAAAAGAAATAAAATGAAATAAAAACAGATTAATTAAGTAGAGTTGAAAGTTTGAAATTTTATCAGCACACAAATGCACTGATGGTATATGAAATGACAGTAATATGTAAATGACAATGACATGTTTTAACATTAATTTATACTGATAATAAATGGCAAATATATATTTTATTACACATTGAGTTAAAAGGAAAGGTAGTGTATTTGATGGCATATAAGACCCAGCTATTTACATATTACACTATTAAAAAGTTAAGACTAGATACGAGTACTGGTAGTCTATGACATCTGCATAAACATTAGCCTACCAGATACCCCAAATTCACATATTAGACCAGAAAGATATGTTTGCCATTTTTTTTTAATGTGCTGTCTTATATGCCATAAAATATGGTAATTAACTGTGGAAGATTTGCCCATAATCTTGATAGTTGCTACTAGATCTGGATACAAGCCAATCTCTTTATTTTTAAAATCTTGTCTTTTAAAAAAAAATATTACCAATCTAAACAAGGAAAGAGGAGGACAGACAGATTATATATATATATATATATATATATATATAGCCATCCACAGACAGACTGTTTCTCCATATCACAGCTCATCAGTGTGGCTAGACATCCAATCGCTCCAGGCTGGAACCAAAACCCGACCGATTTGGTATCAGTCCTAGGTTATTAATGCCCAACAGAGAGAAAGGCAAATTTTTGCATATTTATTTTTAATTTTTTTTTTTCTTAAACACACCAGTCACTCAGAGAACTCAATTGCTAGGAGAGTCTTGCATTATCATATATATATATATATATATATATATATATATATATGTGTGTGTGTGTGTGTGTTTGTGTGTATGTGTGTTGGGGGGGGTAATTTGAAAGCCAAAATTGCTGATTTTTCAGTGGTTTTCTCATAAAGAAGCATTAAAGGCAAGCAGGCTTTGTGGTGGAGTGCTCAATATTGAAGATAATGCAAAGTTTGCATTATTAAGAAAGCCAAAGAAGAAAAATTGGTAGAAAGAAGTTTGACTTAAATTTTGCAATTAAGTATGACCAACAAAATTTAATAAAAACAAATGATAAAATTTAGTTAAAAACAAGTCACATGGAACAAATAACAAAATTGCAAAGTTCTTGGAGATTTTTAGTATATGAAGAAAAATGGTGCATTTAGGTAAACAAAAAATCCTCAATAATATGTGCATCAGGATTATGAAAATGAAATAAAATGTGCAGCTATAAGCATTAGTATAATGCTAAAAATTCAAGAAATGATTAAGATTCATTTTCTGAATGACCAAAATACTAATACTATATCCCGGTTATATTTTAATTATTATAAAAGAATAAGAAACAGAAAGATTTATCAAAATGTAAGACAAATTATATTTTTGGTACTGAGAAACAAAATAAAAAAGATTGGAATTAAAAAAAAAACAACCTTATATGATTTCTAAACATTAAAAAACTCTTTATGAGTAAATATCACAGTATCTATTGTGTCTTTTTTTATGGAGATGTTCTTTTTGTATAGTTAATAATAACATTTATACAGTAATATATGAAAGGAAATATGTGGAAATCATTTTTTAATGCACTCTTTTATAATAAACAATAACTACTTCAAAATGTTTATGTGTAAAAAGATTTGTTTTAATTTCTAATATTGCTACAAATGAAGTACATATTTAAAGTTTTTAAATGTACAGAACTTTAACAAATATAACAATCAGACTGCATATTTATATTATTTTATTCTCATGGAATAAGCATTAACTTTAAAAGTGTGAATAATCATAATATAACTACAATATTTTATTTTTCTATCATATCAGTAATCACACATTTTGTTTGTCTCATTAGGAAATTACTTTTTTCTTTTGTAGAAATAAGAATCATCAATATCATAGGTTAATGAAGTTTTTTTGTTATATTTTGAGAGGAGAAAATATTTACAATGAAAAACATGGAGAGTGAAGTCATTAAAAATATATTCATATTCATCAGGACTTCCAAATTCAGTTGGTAATAAAGGGGAAATAAATTGAACAAATCTAATGAATTTTATTTTAGACCTGCTAAGAAAAAAAAGAGAAAAAAAAAGAAAGAAAGGAAACAAGCAGAAAGCCAAAAGAAAAAAAGAACACACACAAAATTTGAAATCATTCAAGTCCACTCCAATCTGACAAGTTTACAAGTGATGATACTTTTAGAGTTGGCAAAGCTCAAAGTTGGATAGATGAAGTTGCTGTAGGAAGAATAGTGAGCCAGTATTCGTAGTCAGGTTATCTCCCTTGACAAAAGAAAATGTCTTGTTTTGCACTATAAAATCCATGTGCTGATTGCTGTCATCATCTTCGATATGTTAGTCCGTCAGTTTTCCAGTATTGAGATTTGAAAATACCAGATTTGGATATATTGTTCCAGCTCTCAAAGCTCATTAGAAAATGACAAAACATTTCATGATTTTCTATTTTGTAAATTAAAAATCGTTTTTAGATAAAACTGTTATAAGTGAACATTTTTGGTCATTTACTTTTAACATTGTACATTAGAATGATAAAAATATATTGACTATAATTTTGATTTGTTTTATTCAGTTTAAAAAAAAAAAAAACCTGACTCCTTAAAAAGAGTTAGATATGGGCAATGAAATAAACAAAAAGAAAAAGGATTAAGTGAGAAAAATATAGCAGTTGGCTTCAAGAAACTCTGACACTCAGAGCTAGAACAATCTATAGTAAGAACCCCAATTTACATGCTTACTGGTTGAATTATACACTAAATGAAGGCTAAAGAAAGAATTGATTGAGATTTAGCAATAAAACCAACAAGGTGAGGATGTTAATCTGAACGATTCATGGAATTAAAAGGCATAATCTGAGCAGATGAGTTGAAAGGAACTTACTGAAGAATATAAAATAAGAAGAAAAGAAAAATTAGATCTCTTAACCAAATGATAAATATGCTTCTTTCACCTGCAATCTCTAAATCTTTTCTCCTTTCTGCATATATTTGAACGAATGAGTGATAAAGATTGCTACGGAAGAGTTTGTTCATGAGAGACGAGAAGATTTTCCTTAAAAGAAGAGAGGTCAGGATGGTGCTGACTTACCCACAAGAGCAGCCATATCCACATTGCCAGTTCCTGGCAGGTTCTTTTTGGCTGAACTGCTTCGAGATTTTGAAGATTCGCTTCCTGATGACTTCACTGAACTCTGTTGATGAGACAACCGGGGTGAGGTTTGAGGAGTACCTACTTTGCTAACAGAACTAAGTCCCAGTTGTTTCTTGGCCAATTCTGATAACTTAGGAGAGGAATAAATAAGGCCATCTTCAACTTCAATGTCTGTTTCTGATGGTTCTTCTGAAGTGAATATCTTTTCTGATTTTTTGTGCTTCTTTTTTGAACTGTCCTTCCTTGTGTGAATTATACCTTTCACTCGTCCCCAGGCTGTCTTGTAACACTTCTTATCTCTGGAACTGGCTCTTTCTCCACTACCTGGTACTTTGTAGCTTGCTGACCTGTGTAGGCGAGGTGAGGCAGAGTCTTCATCTGGACTCTTATTAGCACCGTCTCCTGCCTCCACCACAAGAGATGGACTTGACTGACGTCGAACAAGTGTCTTAACATTAAGATACTGCCCTTGACTATCAGTCACCTTACCTGAACTTTCACTTTTGATTCCTTCTTCCCAACTCCGTGGCGGTGCCATCCACATTTCTGTGTGGCTGTCCTCTTCTGCAGGTGGTACTTTGGCCAAGGGTGATGGGCTAGGTGGCCCTCCTGATGATGTAGAGGTTCTCAGTGCTTCCCTCCCATCACCATCAGCACCACTACTGACACCACTGTCCATTGAGCGAGTTTCTGTTAGGCCGACGATTGGTACAGTCAGTTCCCGAGTGCTGCTTTCTGGTGCTGCCTGTTGGCTTTGACCAGGCTTTCCTCCATCTTTTACAACTTTCATACCAGACCCAGAATCATCCATTAGTTTCTGTCGAGTAAGTATCTTTTTGACACGGGCCCATTTAGAAAATTTAGTAGACTTTTTCTTAGAACACGGTGATTTGGAACCAGGTTTTGAATCTTTGCTATCATAATCACTGACTATCACAATATTGCATTCTTCAGAAATATCCTGTTCCATAATATCTGATGGTATCTCTAAGGAACCCGTAGAAAAGCTCCGTTTATATAACTTAGTTGTCTTTGGTCGTTTAGGGGTCTGGTCAGAGGCAGTTTCAATTACTTCTATAGTCTGAGAGCTGTCCACACTTGACAGACGTTGCCGAGGAGGGTCTGATGATGATGGTGAGAAGTCTCCCTCACTGGAATCTTTTATAGCCTTCTGTTGCTTTTGTTTTGCTTTGCTTGGTAGAGACATGTATCCCAGAGGTGCTCGATCATCAGACATTTCACTTTTTACTTGCAAAAGATATTTTGTGCTCTCCAGATATGCACATTTCTTTTTTAGTCGGTTGTTTTCATCCCGCAAATTAGTAAGTTGCTCCATCAACCGAACCAGGTTGTCAAGGTGATCAAGGCCAACACTTTGACGCATCATGCTGGGGCTCGGTGATCGGGTCTTTTTAATTTTGATAGGTTTTGGCAGGGTTCGAAAGTGTTCTTGGAAAGATTTCTCCTGTTCTTCAAAAAACTCCATTATATGAGCACTGTTTCTTTTTGGTGAGGGCTGATCAGGGGATGTTTGGCCCCTCTGTGTTTCTGTCTCACCCATAGTGGCAAGTTGATCTTTTGAACTTGTTTCTGTTGCTGCTGCTGCTGCTTGTGCTTCCAGTGACACAGCGCGTCCTATCCCTGCCGCCAAAGCAGGGACGTTCCCCATAGTCTCACCACCAACAAGCATCTCTGCATCCTCCTCTGTGCCCTCAGCGCCGTCCACTGTTGTGGTGACAATGCAGGGCAGAGGGCGATGGTGTTCGAAGGGCTGAGACATGGTTATTTCCCGCTGCTCTAGCTGGATAGGGGGGACATTATCATGCTCAACAGGTCGTTCAATGCTGGCAACAATTGGCTTGGACTCATGTTTCTTTGGAACTGGTGGTGAAGCCATGTATATTACATCATTTCCACACTCTGATTGGTTATCAGCCTACAACAGAAAATAAACAGTAAATTAAAAATGCATAGATCAATTTTACTAAACAAAGTAGGAAAATCTGGCAGCAATTGAGAAATTAAAATCCATTTTGAAATTATCATTATCAGTTAAAAATGAAAGTTAAGCAGTTATAAAAATCCTTTAAAATTCTTTCTATGTATTTATACATGAAAATAATAAATATTTATGGTAAAATTGTAATTTCAGAATTTCTCTCAGACTACTTGAATCATAATGACATGTTGATAAAAAATTAAAAACCTGATCAGTAGTTCTGATAAATTATCATGATGATTTTTAAAAATGGATTTTATTAAATAGTAATTAGTGAAAGTGATTATTATTGAGTCTGTCAGTACATGGTAAAAAGGAGAAGACATAAAACAGGAGGCTACCAAAGTTCAAGCAGATATTTTACAGTAAATTTTGTTAGCATTTTACAATTTCAGCTAAAAGTGTGCAAAGAAATTTAAATGACAGTAAGTATATTTTACACACACACACACAAACTTTCTCAAATTATGCCATTAAATACAGATGTAGTTAATTTCATGATTGGTCCAAATCATATAAAACCGAAGAGTTACATGAATTTATGGAGTATGTTTATCTCTGGATTCTTTATGATAAAAAGAAAATATCTTCAATTATTTTTAAAAAGTTTCTGAGAAATAAATGTTGGTCTCTGTTGTAGAAAGAAAAATAAGTAATAAACAAATACAGGGTGCGATGGATAAATTGTCATCTAAATTACACAAAAATGAAAATAATATTGACATCTCATTTTAACAGATATATTTACCAAAATTACATAAAAATATCTTGCAATGCTAAAGATTAAATTTATTTAATAAAATCACCATTGGCTTCAATGACAGCCTCCAGACAACTTTGGAATCTCTTCTGGATGGGCTCCTTGTTTAATCTTGTGAATGCTGCCATAATCCTAGCCTTCATCATTGGTGTTACAAGGAATTTTGTTGGTCTCTCACTCAACTGTGCCCCACACATAATAATCAAGTGGACTGCAGTCTGGAGAGTTAGGTAGCCAGATGTAAGCGGTGATATGGCTGCAGAAATTGTCTGACAGCCATCACTGGGTTCTCCTACTTGTGTGGCATGGTGCAGAGTCCTGTTGCCAGACATAAGTTCTTCTAGTAGCCACCCTCTTGATCCAGGGTAGCACTACTTCCTCAAGGCACTTGATGTAGGCCTCTGTATTGTGTCTGAGGCCCTCACCAACAAATTCAGGAGTTCTTTTCTTATCAGAACAATCAGAGTGAGTTTTCCGATCTGCCATACCTTCGTAATCAGCATTAAACTCATCCAACACTTTTCAAATCTGCACTGTTCTCAGATTGACACCCAACAGTATAACATGCCGTTTCCAAATTTATGGCAGAGGAAATTACATCATGATGCTCTTTTTCTCACAGATGCAGTCAACAGAATCAAAAACACACATACACAAAATGAAGAATATAAAATGGTGACAATTTACCCATAGCACCCTGTATGATCTGAGATCAATCAAAACCTTGGTGAAAGGGTATTAGCCCTTGTTTCAGCCACAGTAAATAAGAATTTTGTGTCTGCTAAAAGATAATTGCTAAGAAAGATTTTATATCCTAATTAAATGTTTCACAAACATTCTGATATATCACTCACTTTAAAAATTTAACCTACAGATTTTTCTTTTGTCAGTAAGACCAAAGATTGTAAACCTGCTGCTAGAAACATTAACTTGTACTACAAAAGAGACTAGAGCCATAGTTTCTTTCTTTTTGCCTATATAAAAAGTGCTCCTCTGTGGTTTAGAAAGCATTAAGCAATTTATCTTGAAAATAAGAGCCACTTCTACTTAAACAACAAGTGTTAGACAGTCATAATTTATCAAAAGTAAATTTTTCTTACTTTATTAACACTTCTAGAAAACAATCCAATATACCTTACCTAACCTTCAATTAAATAACAGTTTAAACAATTTTTTCAGTAGACTTATAGTACTAACAAAAATATTTCAATTATTTTCCAACTACTAATATAAACATTTAATGGTCAAATCATTAGAAGTTAGCTAAACTCAGTAAGTTTACTACAAACTAATATTTGCAATAGATCATTCATGAAAATATGCATGTTCTATTATCCAGTTATCATCCTATTTGAGGGTATATAGGAATTTTCTTTTTTTCTTTTCAAAAACATCTCTCAGGTCTTTTTTTGTGAAGTTGGTAGGTTAATGCTTACCCAAATACTATAGACTATTAGTACTTGTACCTAGCCTAACTCCATAGTAATATTAAATGTAAATGAAGAGGGTCTTATATGTCATAAAATAACTTATTTTTATTAATTTACCAGCAACACATAAAATTGAACAAAAATCTTAAGAAAAACCTGTAGAACATTTAAGAATGCAGCATGACAGTAATAACCATTTTAAGAAATGAGTTAGTTTACAAATTCTAATAAAAAGTTTCTAATTCTAATGTTCTAAACAGTATGAGTAAATGCAGAAAAGTTCTCAGCACAACCAAAAAGCCCTTCTAAATAAAAATTTGATAGTTTAATCATTTGGTCAGATTTTGGGATGTGTGTCAAGCTGCAAATTTTTTAACACCTGCTCATATATTTTGTTAAATTATAATTCAATTTTTCTTCTTATTTTTATATTTTTGGATACTCGCTATATTTTTTATTTCTAAAAGTGAGCATTAAGTTCTCTCAAACCTAAAGGAAATAACCATCTATTTAAATCAAAGCACAGAGCCAAGTTTAAACCACAGCAACCAAGTCTGAGTGGAGGCATGGTAGAATAATAGATTGCAGCTTAGATTAAGGAGTTGGAGAGCTGAGTTTGAATTCCAGTTGAGTTCATTACATTTGCTTACATGCTTAGGAAAAGTATGAATTTAACTCTTCTCCTCAACAAGCTATGGGTAAATAGTAAATGAATGTTTCTGCAGTAATATTCATATTTTACTTATTAACCAAATGCAGTAATATTTATATTCAACATCAGTAATTCCTTGAGCAGAGCTTAATTTCTGATGGCAGAGTTCATTTCATGGATAAAATTTTCATAAAACCATAAAAAAGAAATAAAAACACTGATGAAACTGCAAAGGAATAAATTTTATTTGAAAAACTGACTTTAAAAATATATTTTTAAAAGAATCATAATCTATCTAAATAAAAAAGAGTATCTGTTTTATAGCACCATAAATTTGAAAATAATGAGAGTTTATAGTTGTTCAATATGTGTATATTGAGTAAAAAAGACACCAAACTTTGATCCATACAAACAAAAAATGAAAAGAGAATAGATAACAGTTGACTCTGGTTAAGAATGTAGTGATTGGGGAAGCAAGCTATCAGGAGTGTTTCACAAAATAGTGTCTCTTGGTAAGAAGCTGTCCAAATGAAACTTCTTTCTTACAAATGGAATAAGAAATGTTCATCCTTGTGTATATGGCATGCATTTTATGATCTTAGCTGTGAAGGTCTAAACTGGTGAAACTAAGGAATTTAGTTCATCAGAACATTCTCCATAGAAATAGCAACAGAGTAGTGACAGGCTTGTGATGTTGCATCTGTGGGAAAAGGATTGTAGGGTGGAAAATAATTCATTACCTACAAGGCCACATAAACCTTTAAACTCTGTCAATGCTAGAAAGAGAAGATTGGGTAGCTTCATCTCAGATATGGCAGCAAAATTCTATTTTTACTCTGATCTGAGTTTTGTCAAGATAAAACATGGCAGGTTAAATCAGGTACTTTCTGGAACAGTATAAAGAGCCAACCATTTTTATAGCATCTTTAACAATGGATTGTATATATGAGTTCCACTTGAATCCCTATAGATGTTTGAAGCAAGGAGCCCCTTTGAGAGTGTTACCTTTCATCATGTCTGGAGAGAATTTATTATCAGACTGGTGATGATGAAAAGTCACTAGCTTGGTTTTTTATGTACTGAAAGTGAGTTTTTCCCTATTGAGCTGCTAGATCTAGGTCAGAAGAGAGATCAGCTGTCAGGCTCTGGCCACCTAAATTTTGTGGGGTAGACCCATAAACTGTAGTATGATATTTACTAATGATTGGAGAATGTTCTTAGGCAGATTAATATAAAGCAAAAAGAGGGTAGGACTGAGGAGTGAGCCTTGAGGACAGCTGAATTGATTGCATGGACTTTAGAAGTTTAGCCATTGACAAAGACATTCAAGGACCTACCTGATAGGAAGGACTTGATAATTATAAGGACTCTGAGAGATTCCATAGCTGGAGAGTTTATGCACTCCCACCCTCAATGCCACACCTTGTCTAAAGCTTTTAAGATATCTAAGGTAACCACTCATGCAATGAATTTATCATTGTGCCTCACTGATTTTGTGTATGACAGAACATCAGCAGTGGACTTAGAAGAGCAAAATCCATACTGCTTGTTGCTCAGGAGGTTGTTTCTGTTGAGGTGATCAACAACCTTCTCGTTGGCCATAGACTCAAAGAGTTGGCTGATGACACTAAGGAGGCTGATAGTTTGATTTTGAGATTGGGGTGAGCATTCTCCCACATTCTTGAAGGCAAGGCAGACAGTTAAGAGCTTCCATAGATCTGAGAAACATTTTTCTTTCAGGCAGTGGCTAAAGAACTTTACCAAGATTGAAGATAATTTGGGGCTAAGGTTCTTAAGAACAGCCACAGGTGTTTTATCTGAACCAGTAGCCTTTGTAGAGTCAAAGCTTTTGATTATTCTGGAAGATTCCTTTACTATGATATCACAAAGTTTGTGCTTTGTGAGAGGAGGGAAGTCAGGTAGGAAATAGCTCTTGTTATCTAACATGGTGTTAGAGGCAAAGTTCATTGCTAAACACTATATTTAACTAGTAATTTTCATCAAATTGATCAATATGCATATACAGGTATCTTAGTAAAGAAAAGAGGAAATAAAGCTTATCTAAAAGTGATAAAATAATCCATTTATTCTGGGA